AGTAAGTTCTTACCTCAGTTGGGTTTATCAAACTCTAAGCTGCTGTGCTCATTTGTTTACTATATTATATACCCAATCTTGTTCCACTTATCAGCCTATTTCTTGCCCAATATGAAATTGTTTTGGTGATTATGGCTTTGTAGTATAATTTAAGACCTGATACTTCTAGGCCCTCTTCTTTTCTACTTTTTTCCCTTTAATTCTCTTGATAATGTAGACCTCTCATTCCTCCAGTTGAATTTCGTTATTATTTTTAGTAGTTTTGTAAAGAAATCTTTTGCTCATTTAATAGGTATGGTACTGAATATGCAAATTTATTTAGGCAGTTTTGTCATTTTTATTATATTGGCTCACCCATGAACAAGTAATATTTCTTGAATTATTTAAATTGCCCTTATTTGTGTATCTTTGTATCTGTATTCATATAGCTCTTGTTTGTGTCTTGGTAGGTAGCATTCCAAGCATTTTATACTCCATGTAGTAATTTTAAATGGGATTTCTCTTTTTATCTCTTCCTTCTGGACTTTGATAGCAACACACAGAAATACTGATAATTCATATGGGTTTATTTCATATCCTTTAACTTTGCTGAAAATGTAAATTATTTCAATTAATTTTTTAGTTGATTCTATAGGGTCCTCTAAGGAAATCTCATGTCATCTACATAAAGTGATCATTTTGTTTCCTCTTTCCTCTTTGTCTATGCTTATTCTTTCATTTTTTCTCATCTTACTGCTTTTGAATAGTAATAGTGATAATAAATAACCTTGTTTTAGTGCCAATTGTATTGGAAAGACCTCTGGTTTATCCCCATTTTAGATATATAGTTATAGGTTTTAGATAGATACTACTTATTGTGTTAAACCTTGTTTATTCTTTTGCTTTCTAGTGGTATTAATATGAATGCATGCTGTCTCATAAAAAAAACTGCCTGATGATGTAATCACAGAATTTATTGTTTTTGTTATTAATATGATCAATAATGGTCATAATTTTCTTAATATTGAACTTGTCCTGCATTCCTAGGATAAATATAGACTGATTATAGTGTATCATTCTTGTGCTATGTTTCTATAGTCTCCTATAAGTGTTTTATTTAGGCTTTTTCCATTAATATTAATTAGTGATCTTGGTCAATACTTTTGTTTCTCTGTTTTGTCTCTCCCAGGCTTAGGTATTAATGCCATATTTGAATCATAGAAAGAATTCTATAGGATTCTTTTTTTTTCCTATTTGGAATAAATTATTTCATAAATGTTTGATAGAATTCACCTGTAAATCCAACTAGTCCTCTTTTATTTTCTTTAGTAGTTGACTTATGGCTTGTTCAAACATAGTTTTTTCTAACATAGTTATGTAGATATTCTTTCTTTTTTGTCAATCTGATCAATGCATATGTTTTATTAATATTAAATATTAACAAATTTATAAATATAATAAATAGTACCAAATGGTACCCAATAATATCTTTTATTTCTTCATTGGTTATGAATTCACCATACACACACATCTATGTTCATTAATTCTAATTATCCAAAAGAGAATTGGAGGGAAAGAGGTAAGGGGGAAAAGAGTAGCAGACTAAGGGGGACAATAGTCAGAAGCAAAACAGACTCTCAAAGAGGGTACGGGGGGGAAAGAGAAGGAAAAGGATAAGATAATAGAATGCAGGAAAATACAGTTAGTAATCATAACTATCAATGTGAATGGCATGAACTCACCTATAGAAGAGGATATTTGACTGGGTTAGACCCAGAATGCAATACTATGTTGTTAAAAAGAAACATACTTGAAACAGAAAATACACATATAGTTGACCTTTTTTTTCCCGCTTTTTGGTGAGGCAATAAGGGTTAAGTGATTTGCCCAGGGTCACACAGCTAGTAAGTGTCCAGTATCTGAGACCAGATTTGAACTCAGGTCCTCCTGACTCTAAAGGGGTAGCTCTATGCACTGTGTCACCTAACTGCCCCTTCATATAGATTTAAAAGAAGAGGCTGGAGAAGAATTTATTATGCGTCAGCTAAAGTAAAAAGGGCAGGGGTAGCAATCGTGATCTCAGACAAAGCAAAAGCAAAAATAGACCAAATTAAAAGAGGTAAACAAGGAAACCACATTTTGCTAAAATGTATCATAGACAATGAATTAATATCAATACTGAATCCACATGCACTAAATGGTATAGCATCTAAATTCTTAAAGGAAAAGTTAAATGAATTACAGGAGGAAATAAATAGTAAAACAGTAATAGTTGGGAACCTCAATTTTCTCCCCTCTCAAACCTAGGTAAACCTAACCTTAAAATAAAACAAGAAAGAAGTTAAAGAAAGGAATGGAATTTTAGAAAAAGTTATGTGTAATAGAGCTCTGGAGAATATTAAATAGGAATAGAAAGGAGTGTGCCTTTTTCTCAGCTATTTAAGGTACCTTTACAAAAATTAACTATATATTAGGGCATAAAAACCTCAAAAATATAGAAAAGCAAGATGTTAATGCTTCTTTCTCAACTGTAATGCAACAAAATTGTATTCAATAAAGAACCTTTGAATCATAGATTAAAAATTAATTGGAAACTAGAAAGTCTTAAAGAATGGATGAGTCAAAGAATGTTATAGAAACTATCTATAATGTCATTAAAGATAATGAAAACAATAAGACAACATACCACAACTTGTAAGATGCAGCCAAAATACTTAGGGGAAATTTTCTGTCTCTAAACACTTACATCAATAAATATAAAAAGAGCAGATCGACAAATTAGGCATGGAACAAAAAATACTAGAAAAGTAGCAAATTAAAAACCCTTAGCTAAATATCAAAATAGAAATTCTGAAAATAAAAGGAAGATTAACAAAAGTACAAATAAACAACCTATTGAATTAATAAATAAAACTAAAAACTGCTTTTTAAGTCAATGAAATAGATAAGCCATTAGCTAATTTGATTTTTTTTTCCATGTAAAAACAATTTTTAACATTTATTTTTAAAACTTTGGGTTCCAAAGTCTCTCCCTTCCTCCCTCCCCACCCACCCTCATTGAGAAGGCAAGCAACTCAATACAGGTTATACATGTGTAGTCATGCAAAACACTTCCATAGTAGTCATGTTGTGAAAAACTAACTCTATTTACCTTCACCCTATCCTACCCCTACCCCCCGTTGATTCTATTCTCTCTTTGACCCTATCCCTCCTCAGAAATGTTTGCTTCTGATTACCCCCTCCCCCAATCTTCCCTCCTTTCTATCACCCCCAGCTCTCTTATCCTCTTCCCCCCTATTTTCCTGTAGGGTAAAACAGATTTCCATACCCAGTTGAGTGTGTATGTTATTCCCTCCTTAAGCCAAATCCAATGAGAATAAGATTCACTTATTCCCTCTCACCTTCCCCCACTTCCCCTCCACTGTAAAAGCTTTTTTCTTGTCTGTTTTATGTGAGATAATTTACCCCATTCTACTTCTCCCTTTCTTCTTTTCCCAGTATAATCCTCTCTCACCCCCTAATTTTGTTTTAGATAACATCCCTTCATCTTCAACTCTATCTATCTATCTATCTATCTATCTATCTATCTATCTATCTATATGCTAATTTGATTTTTAAAAGAAATAATGATAATAAAGATAATGATAAGCATGGTGTAGCTAAAGTACAAATTCTGGTTAATGTCAATATTTGCTAACTAATTCAGTAATAAATACTAGTTCTGCAACGAACAGAGCATTTTGTTGATTTAATAGGGCTTTTCAGTGGGTGATTCTAGCCCAACATTCCAAAAATTACATTGTATTGACTTTTTATATATTTGGTATTTATTGTCCATATTGTAGAACATGAACTCCTAGAGAGCAGGAATGGTTTTGATTTTGTCATTATGTTCTGAACACCTGACATAGCGTTTTCTACATAGTAGATAAAAAGTGCTCTTCAAGATTCATTTAACAAAGCTATGTGATTTGAGATTTTTATTTTTTAGATACCTGCACATATACATTAAACATATAAGCTTCCTCTTTTTAGTGTATAAAGAATAAATGAATTAAAGTAGGTTCACTTCATGGTGTAGCAATTAAAGAGAGTAGAAGTGTTGCTTTGTGCTTTGTCTGAAAAATTATGCTATAATGCTCCTGATAGCACCTGAGCTTTGAAAGAGAACTAGGTCAAATGGCAGCTGATTGAAAACCATTTTTGCTGAGGGAATATTTGAGGGAATCACATAATGTGAAGATTGTTGAGATGTCTTAGATTGAACCCACCTTTAACTAGTGGTGAGGAAGTATGGGTAGAATGAGAGAAGTGAGTACAGAAATAAAGGCCAATGAGACTCAGAAGCAGAATATAGCTGTGTTGCCCAGAGTGATCTGATTCTAGGCTTTCCCCCCTTTTGTTACATTGGTTATAACTAGAGGTATCCATGGGTAGCATGAGTATCTATTTAAGGTCATGGTAAATTCCGTCAGAGCTCACAAGGTGTGCAATAAAGTTGGAGCAATGATGACAACTATGGTTTAATAATATTTATAGCTCACATGTTAAACTGTATTAACTCTGATTTTTCATATCTAGAGAAGGCTCTCGGGTAGTATGCAGGTATGCAACATTTTAACAATGCTCATTTGATGGTTGTAATGTTTGCAAAATCATAGAATTTCAGATTTCGATGGAACCTCAGAGATGACCTCGTTCAATTTGTAGCTGAAAAGAGTTCCCTTTACAATATACCTGACAAGCGGTCATCTAGCTTTTTGCTTAAAAATCTCAAGTGAAGAGCAGCCCACTACATTGAAAAGTATCCCATCATACCTTTGGATGACACTAAATACTGAGAAGTTTGAGGGGTTTTTTTTCTCTTTTATAAGCTTTATGTTTTCCTCTTTGCAGCTTCTGCCCATTGTTCCCAGTTAGGCCCTCTGGGCCTAACTGCTTCACCCTAAACACATTGTTATAATATTGCAAAATATTTCTTTTCTTTTTACACATTTTTTTCTTTAATTTATTTTAAACAGGTTATTTGGCATCACATCAGTAATCCAAACAAATTGTTCGAGCACTTGGAAGATCATAGTACACCCAAAGTTGTCCTGGTATCATCATGCCAATCCCATCCTATTACTGGTGACATACTATACTCTGGCGACTCTGATTCGACTCTGGCTACAAGAACCCATTGTAAGTGTAAAAAGATTTTTCATGGTCTTTTCTGAAAAATATCTTTGGTAGGGAACTGTAAGTCCCTTTCAGAGAGAATCTGTGTTCCTAACTCAGTTCAAAAAATGTTTATTGTGTATCTACTGCATACATGATTTGGGATACAAAGGCAAAAGTGAGACAGCCCCTGTCCATCTCCCTTCATACCAACTGGATAGGAAGACAGCACCTCTAAAACAGTTTCTTACAGAGGTGTTTGATACTGTGAGTATTGCCACTTTAGATATGGAAATCACCTAAATGAGCACAAATTCTACTACAGCCATAAGACATACTGATATAAGTAAATATGCATCAATGCCGAAATAGGAGAAGACTAATAACCTGGGGTAGGGAGGCCACAGTGTTCATTAAAGGTCTGCTACAGGAGATAGTACCTAAGATGAGGCTTAAAGGAAGCCAAAGTGTGGTGAGTGGTAGACATAAGGGGAGGTACACTCCAATGATGCGTGACAGTCTTTGCAGTAGCACAAGAGATGGGAGGTGGAATGTCAAGTTTAAGGAATAGCTAATAGGACACTTTGGTTGGAATGTAGAATGCAAAAAGAGTCATGATTAGAAATAAATCTGGGGCAGCTAGGTAGCGTGACAGAGCACCAGCCCTGGATTCAGGAGGCCCTGAGTTCAAATCCAGACTCAGACACATAACACTTACTAGTTGTGTGACCCTGGGCAAGTCACTTAAACCCATTGCCTAGCACCCCCCCAAAAAAAAATTGGGACAGCTAGGTGGTACAGTGGATAGAGCATGGGCCTCGACGTCAGGAGGACCTGAGTTCAAATCCAGACTCAGACCAAACACTTGACACTACCTTTGGGACCCTGGCAAGTCACTTAACCCCAATTGCCAAAAAACACAAACAAACAAACAAACAAACAAACAAAAGAAATAAATCTAGAGGGATAGTTGTTGGACTGATTATAGAGGTCTTTAAATGGTGAGCTAAGTTTATATGTTATAATAGAGACGCCATCATCAAATCTGTGATTTAAAATTTTAATTTGTCAGCTATGTAGAGGATAGATTGGATAAGGAAGAAAGATTAGAAGAAGGAAAATTAGTTATGAGTCAATCAATCAAATATTCAAGGCAATGGATTAGGTCTTAGGGATACAAAGATAAAAATGAAATAGTCCCTGCTGTCAAGGGGTTACATCGTATTGAGAGACAGAGCTTGTACATAATATACAAAATGAGTACAAGTATGTTGAAAAAAGCCAGTTGATAAATAGTTTGGCCTTGAAATCAGGTAGTGAATCATTCTTTGTGCTTGTCTCCCCAGTACCTAGTATAGTACCTGGTATATAGTAGGTGTTTAACAAAAACTTGTTGATTGATTGATTGTTTGAATGGAGAGAAAGGGGCAGATAGAAGAGTTTTCAATCAGTGAAGGGCCTATAGTAGTGTGTTTCCATCACAAACAGTAATATGCACTAGTATCATAAGTCCCAAGACTGCAGCTGTCATTGTTTACTTGCCTTTTTCAATTCTAATTTTTTCTCTTTTCTATTTTTTTTAAGTTAACAATCAGGATTTAAAAAACAAAACAAAACAAAAACAGGCAAAAAAACCCCTTGAAGTTGTAATGGTAAAAAGCTAAAACTGCTTCTGAGGGCTTGTGTATATATATCTGGGATACATGTCCCCTCATCAATTAGATGTGATCTGTCTCTAGCGCCACTGAACCCTAACTGCACCAGGATAAAGAATGTCTAGTACTTTCCAAATTTAATATTTCCCTCTCGTCCCTTCTTACTTGTTAACATCCCTAAGGATGTGCTAGTATATTCATTCCCACCCAAGCTTTTGACTTCCCTTCATCATTTGCAGGGCTATATTGGGATAAGGGCAAACTCTTCTCTAAAAACATATTGTTTGGTTTGGGGTTCTGGGCTTTTCAACTCTCTGGACTACAGCGTCTTATATTTGCAAAGGGACCATTCAGGAACTGAGACACGTAGGGCTACAACCACAGCGAAGTCTTTAATATGTACAGGAAACTTTTCTGCAGTGTTCATTTTTTCCCAAAAAGTCAGTATTGCTAGGTTATTGTCTGTTACCAAGGGCAACACATCAGAAATTCAATTCCCATAAGCAGTACTGTGCTGAATTCTTTTTCTTCTTCACCAATTCATAGTCTATCCATCATATAAACCTTTCTAGCTTTACTTATTTAAGAAGTAAAAGGAATGTGATCTCTCTTATGGCCTCAAGATCACCTGAAACACACACTTCTCATTTGTTACAAAGGTGACCAAAGAGCAGACATCAATTATCAGTGCTTTCTTAACACTTATTTTGCACCCATTTTCCCAACTGATATCAACAGTAACTGGTACAATAAAGGCAAATACTCTGTGCTATTTTCTCATGTTCCATGATCCCAGTCCTCCTGAGAAGAAGGGTTCTTTTTTTTTTTTCCAGTCCATAGAAGGGAATGAGAGAGTGAGGGGAAATTCACTGTGTTATCTGTAATGGACATTAACAATAACACCTTCATAATACAAAATGATTGTTAAAAGCTGGTTATTGACATTCTTGAGTCACATTAATAGCTATTCTAGATGGACCAGAAATAGAAAAGAATCAAGGGAGGGAGGGCACTGGATATTCTCTTCTTATGTACCAATTTCATTAGGTGGACAAAGTTTGAATCCAGTTGTCACATCGAGACAAATGAGGATCAACATTTTTGTACATTGGCTTCAAAATACGTATTTCATGATAAAGGAGCCACATATAATTGAACCTTTTGATTCATTTACTTAAAGTTTAGGAGGACTAGAAGACAAATTAAAGAAGTTAATGGATATCTTTTAAAAAAAATATTCTTGTTCTAAATACCTGAAAATTTGCTTTCCACTATAGGCTTCAGTATACCTTGAGATACTGTAGTTATGATCCTTAAACTACACTAACAGTAAAGTGTGGGATCCAGTAGTGCTCACAAAATGTTTCAGTGCCAATGTACTTAGAAATGGCTGTGAAAAACTGTCATCATTTTCAAGAATGACAAAACGTGATTTCTTACACGTACACAAAAGATGAAAGGTAAAGAAGGGAAGCTATAGAGTATCTCAGGGAGACCACTTAGGGAGATATATTGGGAAGTATAGATTATTCTTATGATTTTTTTCTGTGTTTTAGGTTCAGGATGATGAAACCAATGATGAAGATAAAGATATGTCTTGCAGTCCCGTGCAAATCACTGCAGAAAGAAGGCGAAGTCTGTGGTATGCAACCCACTACCCAACTGATGAGAGAAAAGTAAGGCTTGGAGAAAGCAACTGCCATTTCCCACCTTTATTTTGCCTCTTTTTCAGGTATTTTCTTGTTGAATCTGAGTAGTGGTCCTAACACAGGTATAATGACACAGGAGCCCAACTGGCTCAAACACAAAGGCTTTGATCTAGAAACAAATGTAGTTATTATCTTCCTTATAATTATCAAAATGAATGTCCACAAGGAAAGGAGTGAGAGAGTTAGTTTCTAACTCTAGAACCAAAAAACAGATCAAAATCGTGATAGCTCCACACCAACATTTACTAACAATGCCAACTCTGTGTCAACATATGGGATCCTATACTCAGAACTGGAAGGGACCTTAGAGATCATCTTGTCCAATAGTCTTTTTTATTTTCTTACAACTAATTAAAATGAAGCTCAAAGAAGCTATTTGACTTCCCCATGCCTTCTATGACCCTGAACCCATTATTCTTTCCCAAATACCACTTTGTATTTCATTAATTTATTGGACACAGGAAGTGTGGTTTAAGATATTAGTACATTATTATCTTCAATAGAAAATGTAAAGAAATCATTTAGTCTTGACTAGTGCAATAAATTTTTAGGAAATAGGTTGACTTCTTTACTGAGCAGGGAATGGTTCTCTAGGTGAAAAATTATAAAAGAAGTGATAAAAGAATATAGTTATAAACACATTCTTTACAGAAATTTTATATTTATTTGCACACGCTGATCTGTGCTTTGAGGAGTGGTAAAAATTTGTTCTTCTAGGGGGAAAAGGCAGATTGTGTCTAGGTAAATAAAGAAAAACATGCTTCAGTATGAAAGGCCCAATTATTTTTCACCAATTAAATAGCAAACAACTGGCAATTAAATAGCAAACAACTCCAACATTTGGAGTTAGATAATTGGATTCAAATTCTGGCTCCACTATTTGTAATCTCTATGAGCATGGGCAAGTCACTTATTTAAATTCTCTGAGCCTTAATTCATCTCTTAAATGTAAATTTTATACTAACATGTTTGATCCTATAAATTAAATGAGCTGTCACAAAACTTATCTAAATAAAGCCTTAATTTAGAACTCAGGAAGCCTCATTTACAAAATTCTGTAAAAATATAATAAAGCTATATGGTGTACAAATATTCATGAGAGCAAGCTAAAACAATTTCTTTGTTCCTCAAAATGATGCACATTAATACATCAAACCATTAGGAAATCATCCATATTGTAAGTGGTTGTTATAATTCTTTGTTTGTTTAGGCCAGAATTTATTTCCCAAGAAGTTGTGAAATTAAGAAAAAATAATTATTTCTGCTTGTTTTGGATATGCATTTCTTGAAAAGACAAATTCTCCATTCAAATGACTATCAAATATTCACCCAAAGTGGAGCAAGAAATTAGAATTATTTAGGGAGCCCAACTGAATGTGTCAAACAAACAAGTCAATTTAAAATATTCACCAATATTTTTCATGGAAGCCATTTCCCTATCTTTTAATTTTAAATTTAAAAAAATATTTTTTTTCAACTATTAAGTGTTTAATTTTTTTCTCCCTCCCACTTCTCCCTACCTAACAAGAAAAAAAAAAAAGAAATACAGAGCCTCTATACTGCATAGGCACAAACAAGCAAAACATATTCCTAAAAAATGCATTTTTCTGCTTAATTAGTCTATGATTTCACTGTTGTGAGTTGGGCAGCATTCTTCCTTATCAGATATCTGGAATCGTGGTTGATCAGTCAGTTGATCAGAACTCTTAAGTTTTTCAAAATTGTTTGTTTTTGAAATATTGATTCTATGGTATGTTATTTTTCTAGTTCTGCTTACTTCACTTTATATCATTTTATTCAACTCTTTAAAATGATATTTTCCTTCATTTCTCACATTACAATAGTATTCTATTACATTCATATACCACAATTTATTCGACCATTCTGCAGTTGACATGCAGACCCTTAGTTTCCAGTTCTCTGCCACTACATAAAGAGCTGCTATAAATATTTTTTGTACATATAAGATCTCTTTCTCTCTCTCTCTCTCTCTCTCTCTCTCTCTCTCTCTCTCTCTCTCTCTCTCTCTCTCTCTCTCTCTCTCTCTCTGAAATTTCTTTGCAATATGAGCCTAGCAGTGGTAAAACTGGACCAAAAGATGTGAACTGTTTAGTAACTCTTTGTACATAATTACAGATGCTTTCCAGAATGGCTGGACCTATGCACAGGTCCACCAACAATGCATTAACGTGCCTGTTTTCCCATAGGCCTTCTAACATTAGTCATTTTAGTTTTTGTCATCCTTGTCAATCTAATGGGCATCAGGACTTCATCTGAATATAGAATATATATTTGGCTTTTTCCCAGGAAGAAAGAAGGGGATGATTTGGGATTGGCAGCCTCTTCACTTTTATCCCTCAGGGGATCTGGATCAGATCTCCAGCTTTTCAAGGAGCAGTTAGTTGTGTTTTAATTAGGTTGTTATTTAGAGATAAAGAAGAGCTGAATTTTTCCATTTCCTTCTACTCTCCTATAGTGTTCATGTCCTTCTGTCTTTTTTACAAATGGTTTAGTTTACAAGCTTTCACTAATTGATGAATATAACATAGGTATGGTGGGCACACTCATACCACACTGACCCTGGAGACATGTGGAAGGAAACTTAGCGTACAAATTTATTCCATTGATTCAGTGATTAGTATGCAAAGCCTAGTTTGCAGATAGCAACTGAGAACTAATCTAGATTAAAAGCAGTCATTTAACAGAAATTGTTAGGCAAATATTTGTGGGTATTTTGAAGTCTTACAAATCTATTTGTCTGAAAACATGAAAAGCAATGTGGATGCCCAGAAGAAACCCTTAATCTCTTAATATCAACCCAGTAACATCTTTTGGATACTCTGAGGACACCCTTTTCTAATAAACTCTATATCCCCTAGTCTAGTCTCTAGGATTAGGTGACTTTTTTTACCCTGAGATACACTAAGCTGTCTTTGGCAAAAATTATTTCTAAAAAGTTAAGATACCATAACTAATATACCAGTTTTTTCTCCTACTTTTCTCCTCTTCCCATGATACCTTTTACTACTACCCTTTCTCCCCCAATCTGACAAGAATTTACAAATTTCTAACATGTTCTATTTTATATTTATGTTCTATAAAACAAAGCCCCTGTGTTCTATGCAACCACTTCGTATAATTCACATGACTGACAAATAACTGCTAATTTGTACTTGACACTTATTGCTAACGTTTGGAGCTGTGTAGTAATTATATATGATCTAATGTACAATTCTGTTTTCTTTTTAATAATCTGCATGGTAGTTCTTAATAAAACAATATTCAGGAATACTTGAGAAAATTGTGCATGTATATATTAAATTATATAGATGCAGAAATATTAATTTATTTAGCCATGCTTTATTAATATGCTCTCCTACATTGCTTTTTTCAGCTGTTGTCCATGACCCAAGATGACTACAAACCATCTGATGTTAGTATGTTAGATTTGTCATTTGTGTATGTATAAGTAAAGGAATGAGTTTGAATTTATCTAATTTTCATGTTAAAATGATATTGTATTCAAAAATCTAAGAATCATTTTGCCAGTAGAAGACATTGTGGTTGATTCTTGTTAAAACATATTCAATGAGGGTGGCTAGGTGGCATAGCAGATAGAGTACCAGCCCTGGAGTCAGGAGGACCCGTGTTCAAATCCGGCCTCAGACACATAACACTTCCTAGCTGTGTGACTCTGGGAAAGTCACTGCCTCACCAAAAAAAAAAAAACATATTTAATGATATATATGGAATCAAAGTAATCTACATCACAAAATTGCTTCTGTTCTTATAAGAGGAACTTTTATTATGGTTTTATTTTTCTTTGATATGTATTATGTATATTCCCATTTGCAGTGATACCTCCATGGTATATCTTGAACTTATAAAAAGATGTGAAGGTAGATCCTGAACATTCTGTTGCACTGGCATGCAACTATGAATTTAAGAAAAGATCACTGTTGGCAGTGGAAAGGTCCTCTGTCTCCAATGGCAGCATGGGAGTATTCTGACATAAAAGTGCCAAGAAGTCAACCACATGCTTACCAATTCTTAGAATTTTTTTAGGCATGGCAGAAGTTTTCAGACCACTGAATTATTTTGATTTTCTTTCATGGCACTTATGCTCCTCATTTCTCTGATCTTATTTCCACTTGTTTTGGTTTAATTAGCATTCAATTGTTGGACTGAAAACTCAAATGTAAAAAAAGTCAAGCTTATCTTTCTACCATAGTGTATTCTTTTCTTAAAATACCAAAAAGAATTAAGACATATGCTGAAGCTGGAAAACAGTGAGAACACTGATCTTTCTTTCTGTATATACCAAAAAAAGGAGGCAAGTAAATAATAGCAAAGTTATAAAAGACCTAAAATCTTTACTTAAAATTTTTCTCAAGCCTAAGTTAAACTGCTAGTTTAGTATGCTTAAATTTTCTTTAAGAAAAAAAGTTTAGACCATTTATGCAACTCTAACTCCCATCAGAAAATGATGGATTTAATTAAATGTGTCTAATTTCAAAATATCCAGATATTTCTAGATGCATTTGGAAATCTGAAACTTTTTTTTGATCTACCCTTTAAATGTCTGATGTTCTGAAGTTCAATCTTCAGTAAGAAAATAAGTGGTAGTAAATGATATTTCCTTGTTCAAATCACATTTAACAGGTCCTGTTGGTCACTGTGAATGGTGCTCCTGTTGATTACCATACCATACACCCTAGCCTGCCCATAGAGAATGGGCCAGCCAAAGCTGACATGTATTCTACACCACAATACAAATGGGAGCCATCTGATGAAACATCAGGTAATGAATCACGACTCTAGCTTGATATGGAGCATTCTATGTTTTATTTTCTGTTTCAGGTTATCCTTTTAGAAGACTGATAATATTTTTTTTAAGAAAATAAAGTCATCCAGTAAACTTTTTAACCAAAGTAAGTTTATTTAGACATAGAATTGAAAGGATATTCAATGTGGATACTCCAGTATTTATCCAGCCCCTTCTAGTTTATTTGTCTCTTTCACCCTCTCTAATAAAAGAGTGCTTCAAAGGGCAGCAGATGTACTCCCCAAGAGACTTCCCCTCTCAGGCTTTAGGTTGTATCAAAAGGCAATAGTCCCAACAGCTCTCTTCTCTCTGCAGCAGGGTTTAGCTCTGAGACAGAGATTCCAGCAGCTGGTCCAGCATTTCCCTAGCTAAGCATCAAAGGAAGGAAGGAGTCAATAGAGAGAGAAAGGTTGAAAATTGAGAGTTTAGAGAGAGAAAGGTGAAGAGGAGAGAGGCAGAAAGAGAGTAAGAGACAGAAACAGAGACAACAGAGGAGGGAGAAAAACAGAGGAAAGGAGAGACACTGAGATAGGTAGAGAGAGAAGGAAGAAAGAGAGAGAGAAAGAGAAAAACTTATTGAAGTTGTAATCTGATGGAAAAATAGAATCAATGGCACATGGATTGGCCTTGTCAAAAGATGGGATCCTTCATTGTTAGAGACTGGGGAATAATTTCAAGAGGATGTGAGATAAAGAGAATAGGATAGAGGGAGTTCATGTAAAATGGCTTAATTTTCTCAGTAAAGTAGGAATTGAGAACCTTGGTTGAGATAGAGGGAGGAGGAAAGCTACGGAAGGTTTGAGAACAGAAGGTTTGGGGGAAAAAACTGTGGATAATGATATAGGAATAGTATAATTTCTTCTATGAATTTTATAATTCAAACAGTTTTCCTTTGTGGTTGGGAGGATTCCATTTATCAGAAAGTTGTTTATTGAACCAAAGTATTGATAGGAGCCACTTCTTGCTAGACTATTCATATATATCAATATTTTCTTAGAATCTTAGCTTCTAAGACACTTAAGAGGTCATCTAGTCTAACCCACTCATTTCACAAATAAGGAAACAGAGACCCAGAGAGATTAAAGGATTTGCTCAAGATTACATAAGTAGTAAGTCAAGGAATTCAGGTCTTCCTGACTCTCTCAGTTCACTACTTTATACACGATACCATTTTGCCTTCACTATCACATACTTGACAATCCAGCAAAGGAAACTGAAGAGCAATTAGACAGAAAGAGAATCAAGAAACAAACAAGCAAGCAAACAAACAAACAACAACAACAACAAAAAACGAAAGTATGCATGAAGCGAGTGTGGACAAGTGTGTCAAATGCTATAGAGAAGTCCCCAAAATGATGATGTGTTTCTTTTATGGCATATACTTATCCACTGCTTTTCAGACTCAATCTATAAACCAAAATAATTATCAGTGGAATAAACAAAAATGGCAACCCTTAAGCCAAAACTTTGGAAAAGAATCCTTCAGGAAGACTTTTCTTATGTTACTCCCCCTTCAGTCAGGTAGATGGCACAGTAGATGGATCCATGGGCCTAGAGTCAGGCAGGCTGGCAATACACATCTAAAGTGCCTACTATATGCTAAGCACTGTGCTAAGCACTGATGATATAAAGAAAGGCTAAAGACTATCCCTGCCCTCAGAGATTCACAATCTAATGGGGAAGGTAACATGCAAATAATTAGATACATATTATATGCGGGATAAGTAGAAAATAATCATCAGAAGGAAGGTACTAGAATTAAGATGGATTAGAAAAGACTTCCTGTAGAAGGTGGGATTTTACTTGGAACTTGAAGGAAGAAGATCTGAGTTCAAATGTGGCCTCAGACATTCACTAGCTGTGTGACTCTGGGCAAGTCACTTAACCTCTGTTTGCCTCCATTTCCTCATCTACAAGAAAAGGATAATTATAATGTGTACTTCCTCAGGTTGTTGTGGGGATCAAATGAGATAATATTTGAAAAGCATTTAGTACAGCGCCTAACACATAGTAGGCACTTCCTTTTTTTCCTTCTTCACTGTCTCAGTTACTCACAACTTCCTGCACACTGAACTTCCTTTAGGCCTATCCTCAGCTCTGTTAATTTCAGAGTGCTTTTCTATTCCTTTGCTCAAATTGACAATGGTATGAGACATATTGCTTACTCTGAGAATTTTTTTTCTGACTTTTCCTTTATCAGGCCTCTATTATTCTCCCTTCTTGTTCACTCAAACTGAGGTTTTGCCCTGTCAGTACTTACATATACCATTCCCTTCTATACACAATTTGTTCTGTTCTGACTTATTGAGACAACAGCATATTTTTCTAATTATAACAATGCTTTCTAAAGTCTTTGCAAGAAAGACAGTATCTAAGTCACAGTTGTGCACACACATGGGAAAGGGGAGATTTTAGAGTATCTGCAACATAAAAATACTTCTGTGAATTGATGAATAAAAATATTGTTTCTCTACAGAAAAGAAAGAAGAAGAAGAAGATGAAGATGAAGAAGAAGAAAAGAGGAGCCAAGAGGAAAAGCCAAATGTTAAAGTACATGCCATGGTCTCTGTGTTCCAGTTTATTATGAAACAGAGTTACATCTGTGCCCTCATTGCCATGATGGTATGTCTACACTGCTAATATAAGCAAACTAGGATAGCAGTCCACACAGTCCTGTTTGTCCAGGGTGTTAAACTGTCCTTCAGTACTTCCAGTATAAATATATTTATCTTCCGAATGCCTTGGCAAGATGTTGACTTGTCATGTTAATTTTTCATCATATTTTTATTTTATAGATTATAAAATCCCCTCATGTCTAGCTGTACTTAGGCAACTTTGAATTATTAATGCACTTCCCCCAATTTAACTCCCGAAACCAGGCTGTCCCATTATATTATCTTCAGATGCAGAATAGGCTATTTATCCAAGTGGGTTTCCAGGTGCTCTTTGCTAATAGATGAGCTATTCTTATTCACTTCAGAAGATGTAATCCAACATTTATATTTAAGTTAGGTTAGATTCCACCTAGTCTTTGACCCTGGAAATTTTTGGTAGGTGTGAATTTTAATGACATAAGGTTAAAAAACATGTGGTGTGTGGTTGTGACAGGATGAACCACATCAGTGAGATCCTAGAAGTATCAAAATTTTAAGGGTAGAGCATAGAGACATCAGTGTCCAAATGACAGAGTGTATGGAGGTGCATCACACTAAGGAGCTGTTACATAAATTATGACAGGATGCACTAAAATGTAAGCAATTTCAGGGAGGAATATCTGGCTGGTTGCAAAGGTGTTCCCAGATAAGGCCATGCTTTTATATACCCCAGTATGATTATCAAAATGAAGTACAGCTGTGAGGTTTGAGTACATAGTACGACTTATATGCCTCCTCTACCCTCTACTTTCATTCCTGCAAAAATGTGGCCTTAACTGGTAGATAAAAGGAAAAGGGGATACAATTTTATCCCTTTCTATAGGACAATATTCTGCAGTTTTGAACACACTGGTTAAACCTAAAATTGTTTTAATGAACAAAAGTAGTCAATTCCTGCTATTTGGATAAATTCCTTTCATTGAGGAGTAATGAAAAAATGTCATGCCTCAGATAAAAGGAACTGAATTCAGTTTTCCCAAATAGGAAATAAAGATTGCCAACTGAACAGATATCTACACATAGCTACAATTTCTTCTGGTAAATGTTAGTTACTGTTACATTCAGAGTATGATGCGAAGAAAAATTCTTTCCTCTCTAGATTAAGCAAGGTTCATTTCTGATTCAAATATCACATACTTTAATTAAAATTCAATCTCTGCGCTCTTCATTATATTTTACTATTCATTGCTATAGTTTGGTTGATAACCAAATGCTATAAACATTTTCAGTGAAATATCTGGATCTCAGATATTTAATTCAATCAAAATGGTATTTACCATAATATTTTTTAACACAACAGAACTATTATTTCCCTCAAAGTTAGTTTAGTTTGGCCATTTTTATATAAAGTAAATACTTTCAAAAGTAGATTAAAATTTGCATTTTGCTATTTGACAGAAAAAATCTATTGTAAAAACACACTTAAGAGAGCAGACTGCCCATTCAGAGTGTGGGTCTTGCCTGGTGCCATTTTGTTATTTTAAGGGAGCCAAAATGTTAATTTTTTTAAAGTTTCTCTTTTGCACTGAAGATTCCTATTTTGTCAGACTTCTTCTTGGACAGACATAGGAGTTCAGAGGAGCCAAGTCTGTCAGAATGATGTATATATATTTATGTGTACTTCCAGAATATGAGTATACAAAAATGATCACAAAATTCCCAAACTGAACATGGTAAGCATTGTATTACCACACTTAGCAAATCGCCACAGTTAATGGATTCTTAGACATTTTACTCCTCAAATTAAGGAGAGGGGATTTTTGCCACTTCTGCATATATGTGAGTAAATAGCAATCAGTTTAAGTTGCAATGACTGGTTAGAACTTTCCCTGACCCACAAGAGAATGGCAGAATTATAGCTTCATTTTCTTACTGTCATTTATTGTGATAAACCAAATTAAAGGTGATTTAATTTTATAAACTCTAGAGATGAAAAAATAATATAGTGGAAAAAATTAACTGTGGGGACTTGATGTTGAAAATATCCAAATACTCCAATGACTCAAGTTCTCTCCAGTGATACAGATTTCGACCTCTGCCCCTACTGTGCAGTTCTTATTGATATTCTCTCACAGGAGTTCCATCCAACCTTCCAGAGCCTTCTTCACCCTCTAGATATCGTGAAGGTACTAGTGGAGCACAATTACCATCCATCTGTCATCCCTCAATCCTGCCATTTAACTGGTCCAACTTCTCTTCCTATCATTCAATTCACAGAGGACACGTTTCCCTCCTTTCTTTCTTTGAATTTCCTCATTGGTTATCTATTTCAGCCTATTCACACCCACCGCTGATATTTTTTTTAAAATCCTTCAAAGACTGTCAGTGAGTCAACAAACATTTATTAAGCACTTTGCTGTTGTTGAGTCATTTCGGTCATGTCTGACTCTTCATGACCCCATTTGGGGGAATGGATTTCCATTTCCTTCTCCAGCTGCTTTTACAGATGAGGAAACTGAGGCAAATAAAATTAAGTGACTTTCCCAGAGTCACAGAACTAGTAAGTGCCTGAAGCTGGATTTGAACTCATGAAGATGAGCCTTCCCGACTGAAAGCTCCATATTCTATCTACTGTACCACTTAGCTGCCCTTGTTAGGCATTTATTCTGTGTCAGTCACTAACTCTAAACACTAAACTAAGACAGTCTCAGCCTTTAGTGAACTTACATTCTAACATACAGCAAATAAATAGAAGCTGAAAAGTAGAGGAAGAGACATAAAATTAGCTAGTATGGACATGGTAAAGAAAGTCTAATGTGTATCCTGGAGAGGAATGAAGACGTAGCTGGCCCAAACACCATAACTAAATGGAAGTTCTGGGAGTACACATCCAATAAGAGAGATGTAGTGGGAGAAGAGAGTACTTTCGGTGTGAATTGCAGTGAACTTCCAGGATGAGAAGGTTTCATGGTAATGGTAGAGAAAGTTGACAATAACTTTTAAAATAATAAATGAATTTTTGTTGATATTTTATAACACTGTTGTTTAGTTTCATTCTTGTCTGATACTTTGTGACCCTGTTTGGGGTTTTCTTGGCAAAGATACCAGAATGATTTGCCATTTCCTTCTCTACCTCCTTTTACAGATGAGGAAACTGAGGCAAACAAAGTTAAGTTACTTTCCCAGGGTCACACAATTAGTCTGAGGCCAGATTTGAACTCATGAAGATGAATCTTCTTGACTCCAGGCTCGACACTCTATCCACTGAGCCAGCTAGCTGCCCTTATTTTAGAATACTTATGTGCTTTAAGCAACTCTATTATAAATAACACATATAAAACCAGAATATACTTTAGGGAAGCAATGGAGAAAGACTAGGGCAAATATTTATTTGTTCCAAATTGATCTTAATTAGGAACACTTGCAAGAAAGTTGTTTCATAAGTTGTTTTGTAATCACAATCTACTCTTGATTACCTGATCTAATCAGGAATAAAGATTATAGTGCCAATTGAAATCCAGATAACTCCCAAACCACTTTGGTCAGTACTTTCAATCTCTTCTCCCAGAAAATCCTTTATCAGACATACTGACAAGGAACCAATTTAGACAAATCCGTTTCTAATAGAAAACGTACTGGCATCCGCCTTTGAGAATGATTAACAAATAAAATCAATTTTTTATTCTTTGGAAGGAATTTGGGAGGCCATTTGCAAATTGCTTCCTCTTTTCTCTTTCTTTCACATCTCTTTGACTTCATTCCCCACTATATCCTCATTTATTCCAATCTCTGATGATGAGGTTCTTCTTGCTAATGGCCAACCCTCTCCATGTACTCTTGATCCTATTCCTACTTATAATTTCCATCAAATTGCCCCACTACCATGTTCTATGCTTTCATTTGCAGTAGCTCCTTTGTTGCTGCCCACAAATGCATCCAAGTGTCCCTCATCCTTAAACAACAACAACCTCAGTAGATCCTACCATGCCCAGTAGCTATCAGACTCTATGTATCTCTCCTCTTCTCAGTTAAACTCCTTGAAAAAGCCACCTACATTTGGTGCCTCCACCTCTTCTCATCACCTTTTTTTTTCTAAACCTTATGCAGTTTGGCTTCTGACCACATCACTCAACTGACTGCTCTCTCTAAAATTACCAGGAGTCATTTGTTTCCAAAATCTGATGGCCTCTCCTAGATTTTATCCTTCTTGACTTCTCTGCCACATTGGATACTGATGAATACTTTTTCTTCCTGGATACTCCTTTCTCACTGGATTTTCATGACTCTGTCCTTCCTTGGTTCTGCCTCTACCTATTCTAACTGCTATTTCTCAGTCTCTATTGCTAGATCTTCATCCATGTCTTAACCAGTAACTGTGGATATCTGCCCCATCTCTAATGGTCTGTCTTGAACCCTCTTTTCTCTCTAATGCACTTTCATTTGCTGATCTTATCAGCTTCCATGGGTTCAATTATCATTTCTGTGCAAATGATTCACAAATCTCTATCTCTAGCTCTTGTTTATTTCCTTAACTAAAGTCCCACATCTTTCTGTTGTTCAGTCATTTTCGTTATTGTCCAATTCTTCATGACCCCATGGCAAACCACTCCAGTATAAGAAAACATACTGGAGTGGTTTGCCATTTCCTTCTCCAGCTTATTTTATGGATGAGGAAACTGAGACAAACAGGATTAAGTGACTTGCCCAAGCTAGGGTCTGAGACTGGATTTGAACTCAGGAAGATGAGTCTTCCTGAGTCAAAGCCAGGCACTATCCATTGTGCCACCTAGCTGCAGTCTCACATCACCAACTGCCTATTTATTGTACATTTCCATATGGATGTCCTTTAAGTATCTCAAACACAGTGTATCCAAAAAAGCTTTCCTTCTAAAAAAAGTCTTTCCTTCTAAATTCACTGCCTCTTTTAAAGTTCTCTGTTACTTTCAAAGGCACTACCATGCTCCCAGTCACCAAGGCTTGTAATCTAAAACTACCACCCTGTTGCAGGCCCTTATCACTTCATGCCCAGACTATTACAATTGTTCCTGATTATTCTCTTTGCCTTAAATCAATCCACATTCCAATCCCACTTCTATCCTCAGTGCTTAGCACACTGTTTGACATCTAGTGAGTGCTTAATAAATGCTTGTTGATTGATTGAATGGTAAATTGTATGCCATTTGGACACTGTGATCAAGACATTACTTAAAAAGAGACAGGCTTACCTTTGGATTAGCTTTGAGTAATTGGATTCATATGACTAGATACCTTACATACAACACACACACACACAAACACACACATATATGTATATATGCCTATGTTTGCATGTAATGTATTCATATGTATATTTGTGTGTATATTTAATCCTTATCAAAACTCACATGCATATTTTTAGCAGACCCTGAATCTATCTTATATATCTTATACTAGTGGTTCTCAAACTCTTTTATCCTCTAACTCTAGATGTGGGTCAAATCACCCAACTCACACACACACACACACACACACACACAATGACTGGCCTCTAATCTTTTAAGAGAAGAAGACAGGATTGGAGGGTAAAAGAGCATAAAATATTTTGTGCTAGATATTCTAAGATAGAATAGAAGTAGAGATATTTGGAGTTAAGGTAGAAGGCTTAAAACAATCCCCAAGAACTGTTTAAAGGAGATAGAGTGTCATGTTATACAAAAGCAACTGCCATGCTCCCAGTCATTGAGACTTTCTCCTTCAGAGCACCAAATAACAGTATTTGGCTCCACATTCTCCCTTCAATATGCAATCACCCTCAGTTCAAATACCATTTAACCAAATCCAAGCCTTTTTATTTAATTGAATTTTAACTTTCTAGGGTGAGGAGATTTAAAAATTCTGTTAACCATTATGAATCTACATTTTTTTTTGTTTTTCCACTGAGGCCTGGAGTATTACATATCATAGCTGGCTGACCTTTGTGCTATTGATTTGGTCTTGCACTCTTTGGATGATTCGCAACAGAAGAAAATATGCAATGATTAGTTCTCCTTTCATGGTTGTTTATGGGAATCTGCTACTGACATTACAATACATATGGTCTTTTGACCTTGAAGAAATTAAAGAGGTTCCAGGATTTCTAGAAAAAAAAGCACCTGGGGAACTTGCATCAAAGGTAAGTGGAATAGATAGCAATGAAATGGGAAGATATACACTTCAAAACAAAAATTTTTATAATAATCCTTCAGGTGCTAAATAATCTCCTTTTCAGAAATTTTTTTTCATCAGAGAAAAAGATGGAAGAACTATTTTAAACAATTATTATGTCCCACAATTTGTCCTTTTAAACACCTAAAATCCTATGAGTGAATATATTCTTTCCTTAGGGTTTTTTTTAAGCAATAACAAAATGGCTTACAGCAGAGGTATCAGATAGCTGCAGGCCCCCACAAAACTCCCCACAAAGCTGAATGTGGCTAGAACCAGATTAAAATGTATTAGAAATGTTTAATAAAATAAATAAAAATGCAATACAACTTAGATAATGTTAATTTGTGGGTTTCTAAGTCAATAGTCAATATCTGAGTTTGACATCACTGGTTTACATTAAAAAATGAGATGTTTGGAAAGAAAATATGGGTGTCAAAACAAAAAAACAACAGAAGCTACTTTGGGTTGAAAGATACCTGTGTGGGACATGAAGACCCTTACCAATAAATTCCGGAGACTCAGATATAGCAAAGAGAAAGATTGCTTTATTAGCTTTCTCGAGGCAGGGCACCCTCCCTCGCCTAAAATGTCTCTGGTGGAAGAGTGAAAGTGTGTGCTTAGCAAAGAAAGATTATATAGACCCCCCCAACCGCAAGTCCCCCTCCCTAACCCCCTTCCTCTCAGCTCATTGGTACAAGCCTTGAGGGCACAATCTATTCCCAGAAATCTACCCAGCAACAGAGAACAAAACCAGTTTCACAAACTTGCCTGGAGACAAGGAAATGTGGGAAGTTTTACAAGAGCAAGCAGTTCAGGTTGGGGGTGGGGCAATTATTTTTGCTTGCTGAAAAAAACAGGGTCTGAGCGGGGGAGGGTTTTGAAAACAATACAAGGACTATTAACAGGAACTATTGACCCTGTGAGGAGGCTTCACTTCTGAGAGATCATCTCTCACATACCGAATCTGTATATGACTGTATATGACAATTAAATAGATAGTGCATATCTTTAAGTTTAATTAACACATTATAAACGATTAGTGAATATTGATAAAGATAGTTTTATATTTTTGTCCTGCCATTAAGCACACTTTTTTGGAAATAGGATATGCTATTTTAATGATTCCTTTCCCCCAGTCATAGTACCATGATATCTTCCTGCTCATAGATGCTTCATTATCTTCCTAAATTCACTTATATTTGAGTCTTATTTTTTTTAAATAGAGGATTGATTTCTGAATAATTAACTTTGTGGAGTTCACTATCTGTTTTGTTAACAGGACAGCATACATTCTGTATGGTACCCATTGTGTGGATGATGCACTAAAATTCCAGTCATCAGTAATGGCATTGCCCTAAGTTGTTGATGATAATCTCGCTACCCACCATCTCTCTGGAGACTCCATATGATGCAATTTCTATAATCACAACCAGTTCCTCACGAGCAATGATACTTACAAGATCTGACACTCACAATTTTAGATCTTAAACACAACCATTATTTAAACACAAAATGAAATTTACTATAGACACTAATATGTTAATGTCAATACAAAATAAATTATATCATAATTGCATATATTAACTTGAATCTCACTCTCCCACCACTATACTTGTATCACTGGTGAAGAGTAGGCACACATCTACAGAAACCTGGCAAGGAAAGTTACATGATGGAGGAAAAATTGTGTGCTTAGGGTGAACCACAATTCTGGATTTAATTTTTATGCAATACTAAGATTGTAAGGCTCTGATCTAAAGATAATTGCATTCCTTTGGAACAAAATAAAGTGCATACATTTGTGACTGCCATTTTCCTAAACATTCAGGGACTCTGAAACTTCTACATTTGTTAGTGTCTCAGATCTTCGAGTTTGCTGAGAAGCCTGACTTCCAGATAAGTGAGAATGCTATGTTAAGCTTATGTTTAGGTAGGGAAAAATAATAAACACGAATCCCAAAAAACATCCATAGAAAGATTTATTATGCGGATTTACTCTCTATGAACACTGACATCAAGATGAAAAAGGATATAGGCTTTGTCAGGAAGGCAGTTCTCATAAGTCATCATAGTATTAATTATAAGTTTTCTCCCTAACACTTAAAAATCAGTTATAAAAATGTGATTGTCCTAGCTCTCAACTGGGATTTTTTTTTCTTGTTTCTTCTTTGGGATGATAATTGAAATAATAATGGGTTTTATTTTCTGTGATGCATTTTCCTTCCTGTCTACAATGGACATTGCAAAATTTAAAAAGAGGAGCCTATTCTTATTTAAAAATAGTAACAATGCCATAATGAGGACAGGAAATCAACCAAGGACAAGCATCTTGAGGGAGAACACTTGTTGAAAAGTTGATTTCCTGCCCAGATGGAAGCAATTTAGAATGTGCAGTGACTGCACAGAGAATGCATCATCATCATTCTTCTTCAGGGTCTCTTACGATACAGAGTACATTACTGGCACTCACTAAGTGTGTGCTGGCATTTTTATGAAAGGGAATCGAAAAGCAAACTTCTTTCTGATGAAATAAAATGGATAACTGACTCCACCTCAAATGTCTACTTGTTTTTACTGGCCACCCACCCCCATCATCACCCCCACCTTAAGAGTGAGAAGTTTTAAGAATAGTCAATTTGTTACATTGTTAGTTACATTTTAATTGGTTAATGAGTTTGCTTTCTGCTTTCAGATTCTTTTCACCATTACTTTCTGGCTGCTGCTAAGACAGCACCTCACAGAGCAAAAAGCTCTTCGATTGAAGGAAGCTCTTTTATCTGAGGTCAAAATTGGAAGCCAGGAAGATGAGGAAAAAGGTAAAATGTGTAAAGTGTCCTATATATACCTAAGTTTAAAGTCCTTGAGGGCAAAGGCTATGTTATTGTCTGTGTCTTATGCCCAACATTAGGTACAGTGCCATGTGTATAGTTAGCACATGATAACTGTCTGTTAATTATTTAGAAAAGGGATTTATAATGTGGAATCAGTAATGAATTAGAAGACCAAGAGGATAGTCTGTACTACACCCATTATCACCAGCTTACACTCTAATTTTAATTCAGTGTCTTAGTATGAGAAAAGAGATGAAATAATATTTTCTACATTCTCTGATCACAAGAGTTTAATTCCTTTTGATGGGTAAAGGGAAATATATAATCTTTAATAAGAAATATCAGTACATGTAATAGCAGACTGTTTTGTTTTAAAAATTATTATTCTTTCCTGGGGAAAGATTGATCATTATTAGAGTTTTCCTTTTAGCTCCAGTAATGGAAGCTTTTTTTTTTTCAGCACCAGCACCAGCTAGGTGGTACAGTGGGTAGAGTGCCAGGCCTAGAGTCAGGAAGACATCCTCTTGAGTTCAAATCTGGCCTTAGATACTTGCTAGCTGTGTGACACTGGACAAGTCACTCAATCCTGTTTGCCTCAGTTTCCTCATTTATAAAATGAGCTGGAGAAGGAAATGGCAAACCGCTGTAGTATTTTTACCAAGAAAACCCAAATAGGGTCACAAAGAGTCAGACACAAACCGAAACAATAACAAAAAAAAAACCTTATATGTTCACCTTCTGGCTTTCAGGTGAATATTCTTTATGTTTCTGTGGGATTGTCAGAATAGACACTTTTATTTGATTAAGCAGTAACAATAGGATAATAAATTGGTCAGTTCAGCCCAATAATTGGTATATAATTATTGCATTCATGAATCATCCGGTTGTTTGGCCAATATTGTAGGGTATGGAGCTAGAAGGAGCATTAAATATCTTCTTGTTCACCTCCCTTATTTTATAAATGAGGAAACTAAGGCCCATTGAGGTTAAGTGACTTGATCATCGTCACACAGGTAGAAATTGTTAAAGACAGGATTCAAACTCAAGTCTTTTGACTCAGCTCTACCACGTCAGCTGGATTATCAAAACCACAATTTAATCACAGGTGCTTGAGTTGACTATGACTGAAGTGTTGAACTTGGGGAAAAAAGGTAAAGGGCCCCAGAACAAATTTGAATTGCATTTTGTCCAAGTATAATTATAATTGTACTACAAGCTAAGAGTAAGAACGTAAGTTTTCTATTTTGGAAGATGATGAACTGCAAGACATACAAGTGGAAGAAGAGGCCAAGGAAAAGGAAGAAGATAAAGGAAAGATAAAAAAGCAGGAAAGCAAGAAAGAAGATCATGATGAAGATGATGACCAGGACATCATGAAAGTTATGGGAAATTTGGTGATGGCCATGTTCATTAAATATTGGATTTATGTTTGTGGAGGAATGTTCTTCTTTGTCAGCTTTGAGGGTACAATCGTAATGTACAAAATCATCTATATGGTGCTCTTCCTGTTTTGTGTGGCCTTGTATCAGGTATGTAAAAGACAAACCATACTATCTACTTCATATAGATTCTAAGAGATTCATTTGAATACTGTCATGCATCAATCTGTAGAACACATAGATTGAGTGAAGAGGGGGATGAAGAGTATAGTGGTGAATGATAAAGTTTACTTTTATTGAGCCCTAAAATTTGAAACTATTACTTTGGGTTGATTCAGTTCTTCAAAATTAGGGCATGGGAGTATTTGGATTTTTAAAAATGAATGCTCATAAAGTTTCTCCTCCTCCAATGCTTCATCATGGCATGAAGGGGATAATGAGGTTGTATAGACTATACAATCAGAGCAGAAGTTCTAACATATTCTGCTAAGCTAAAAAGGCATTGCATATAACATGGTGTTGGACTAAATATCTGCAACAGAGGACGAACTGAGCTAAGTTCAGAGAACCTTGTCACCAGGTTGGCCACAGGGTAATAACTTTTTCAGCCGTTGTAACTTTCAAAGACTTTTTTACTAGGACATAGAGAGTTGGAATCTATATTGTGAAAGAAGCACTCAAATTCACAAAACCGTGGATCTTCGAAGCCAATATGTAATATTTAAGTAATTATTTAAATAAGGTTTTTATTTTTAAGTAAGTTGCCTACCTAATTTAGAATTCACTTACTCCAATTTAAAGTTCACTCTAATAGCACAGATATTCTAATGTACTAAGTGTTTCCTCTGGGGCATTTATATTTGGATTTTAGATCCCAGATATAACTTTTTATAATTATTTGTTTTGCTTACTAAACTCAGGTTGCATTCCCTGGATTCTATGCCAACCAAAAGTAACTGGCATCTAGTACTTTAAAGTTTGCAAAGCCTTTTATAGACTTAATCTCATTTGAGCCTTCCAATAGCCTAAAGAGGTGAATATAACATCAATGATTAGTCCAGTTTTGTCGATGAGAAAAATAAGGTTCAGAGGGTAGGTCATTTGCCTAGGTCACAAAGCTATAAGCGTCAGAGAAATGATTTGAACCTAGATCTAAGTCCAGAAGCAACAAATGAAATAACTTTTAAAAAGGAAAAAAAAAGTTGTCCTAGTATATAAAGAACTTATTTCAGAACTATGAAGAACTGGGTTCAAATCCTGCCTCTGGCATATATTGGCTGTATGATTCTAGGCAACCTTTCAGTGCTATAGGCAGCTCTAAGGCTGTATGTTGGAGAGAAGGTACTCCACTAGCAGAAAGAGTTTCCTTATCTGGGAGTTTTCTATACCAATAAAATCAAAGGCCCAGGTTTGGGGGGGGGAGGGGCGGAAGCAAAATCCCATTGTATTGGTATTATATTGTATCATATTAGCAAAAGCATTAATGAAAAGGCTTATTTTCATTAAACTTATAAAAGGCTTCAAAAAATAAAATTAAAAGATAATACTCCAATGAATCTGTAATCTCATAAGGTCAGAGACTTAGAGAAGAAAAGGACCTTAGAGGCCATCAAATTCAACTTCCATTTTGCGAATGAGGAACCTGAAGCCCAGGAGGGTTAAGTGACTTGCCCAGAGTAACCCAGGTAGTGAGCTCTGCAAATGAGTCTTCAAACTCCAGTTGGTGCTTTTCTTATTGTAGTGTACAGACCAAGACAGCTAGCAGAGGAGCCAGTGTAGTATCAAAATACTAATGCAGCTGATCCACAAGAAAGTTCATCAAAATGCAGACAAATATGGGCTCACCATATGAAGAATGAAAAATTATTCAATTGAAATAACCGCAAATTTTAATTCCTTCAAAATTTAATTGATTTCTCAAACAAGTATCAACATTTTTATGATAGAGCCATATCAATCCCATATCTCACAGCTTTGAAGCTACCTCTATACAAATGGAAAGAGATCTGATTTCCACATATACACACACATACACACACATTTCCATACATATTGTATACAGAGTTGATAACCTAATACTGTGATTTTCTCCCAAAAAGTCCATACACGCAGTTTTACATATTAGCTAAACGGATTTAATACATCAATCATCCCATAGCATTTCTTTATGCTTCTGCAATGTCTGATTCCCAGGTCCACTATGAATGGTGGAGGAAGATACTAAAATATTTTTGGATGTCAGTAGTTATTTACACTATGCTGGTGCTTATCTTCATATACACATATCAGTTTGAAAATTTCCCAGGCCTATGGGAGAATATGACAGGATTGAATCAAAAAAAGTGAGTATGTTTAGTTTTCTTTGGGTTATAAGAGTAGTGAGTGTAATTAAGATCTACATCATTTGAAAGCATTTTTAAATGTTTGTATGAAAAATAAAAAAATTCTGGTTAAATTTCTGCCCTAATTTTTGGAACCATAAACATGAATGATTTTGTTTTACCTAAGCAAACTGTGACTTGGCAAAATATTATCTAAGCCAATTATATTTACACAAGGCAAATTTTCTTATTTATATCTTTCCCCTGAAATTTTTCTTACTAAAGAAGAGAAGCCTGATTCTTTAATATACAGCATGAAGAGAAGACATTTTTTACAGATGTATAGAGGAAAGCCTCCCCTAAGTTTGGGGAGCACTGGATAGAAACCTGCCTCCATAGTCCAGCTGGGGCACATAATGTGACTCTCTAATACTTCTATGACGTATCTATAAGAGTCCAGATGTTGCTTAGAGGTCAATATTTTTGAAAATATTCTTAGGCTTTTAATCTTAACCAAACTTTCCTTTCCTTCACTAGAAGTGAGTGTTTAAGTTTGTGTGTGTGTGTGTGCGTGTGTGTGTAGTCATAGTGAAGAGAATCAAAAAGACGTATAGAGTAAAGGCAGTATGGTAATTAATAACTGAAAGAGTTTTTCCAAAGCTGAATATTAAGAAATGACAGTAGCTTCTTATAGTGATCTACTATATCTCTTCCCAGTCATATGTAAGAGGGATGATAAATGAAAGTGAGGGATTTAACAGCAATATTTTCTGTATTCCTTTTGCCAAGAATTTCCAAATGTAATATATAAATTATATATTGAAAGGCACAGTCATAAATTCATGAACATATATTTGTGTTTACATATATAAAATCTCTAAAAACGTCTGCAGAGTGCATTTTCAATGGCTGAGTGGAGTCCTGGCTTTCTTTTCAGGCTAGAAGATCTTGGTTTGAAGAAGTTTACTATTACAGAGCTATTTACTCGCATATTTATCCCAACTTCCTTCTTGCTGGTGTGTATATTACACCTTCATTATTTTCATGACCGCTTCCTGGAGCTCACAGACCTAAAGTCTGTACCCAGCAAAGAGGACAACACCATCTACAGGTAAACAAATAAAATGGGTAGTTGTCCTTCCAAAGGAACTTAAAGGTTACCTTAAAGGAAGATTATTTGTCAAGCCTATGATTCCATAGTTAGCCTAAACCTTAGATTTTGCATACCTGCCAGCCCAGTCAAAGAAAGAAAGAAAAAAATGAAGAAATATAAAATGTTTGACTGACCTCTCTAGAATTAAATATCAACTAACTTGACACAAATGTATAGGTAGGTGTTCCAATGTAAGAGATCATGTTCACTGGATAATATAAAGAATAGCTATATAGATAGTACTGTTTTATGTATACTTAGACAGATGTGTTTTCTATTGGAGAGTAGCAGTATAGACTCCAGCATACTTTATAACTAACATTAAATATTATATAACCTTATTTTTAAACATTTTGAACCTTCCTAATCACATTTTGCCGATAAGAATTAAATTTGTTTTTCTTTCCCTGAGCACACATCAATGAATAGTTCAAGTTCGAGTAGTTCAGGATTTTCCAACCAATCTATCATAATCTACTTATTGATGTTGCAGCCTTACTGGTGGGTCTCCAGGCCATTGGCCAACAGTACCTACTGCTCTCTTTAAATCTCATGAGGAATCCCAGTAGAAGGAGGTGTATGGCTGGCAGCCATCCCTAAAGAGCAGTTTGTAATCTTGTTGCGATTACTAACAAATCAGTATTTATAAATATATATATATATATATATATATATATATATATATATATATATATATACACGCACATACACACATATACATATGTATATATATATATATATATATATATATATATATATATATATATATATATATATATATATATATATATATATATATATATATATATATATATACACATGTAATTGGAGAAAGCAAAGCAAAGGTACCTCTTCAATTAGAGTTGGGGTCCCTGGGACAAATAATTCAGAATTATACTGGCTGACAACAAGAAGTCATCCTTAGTTTTTTAATTGGCCACAAGACTACTGTAATTTTAAAAAGTTTATTTGCATTTGGTATTTCCTGACAATGCAAGAGCAAAGTACTTCTAATTTTAGTATGGCATCAGGTGGTTCTGATTATGTAAGTTGTTATATGAACTTGGGAACTGTCACCTCACTTTCAGATATGGAGGTTACATTAAAATAATCAAGATGGATCTCTTGGACAGCATACAAGTAGCTTTTGGTGAAAGGCAACTAATGTCAATTAATTCCTAGCAGTGTCTTTTTTCCCCTAAATTCTTTTTGCTTCCCTTCCTTGAGTGTTTCTCTTTTAAGATCCCTTATTTAAGCACAGAAGAGATGATTCTGGAGAAGGTATTTTTGTCACATGTCCTGCCTCTTCCTTTGCAAAACAGGACACAGATGTAGGCTGCACGCTACCCATGAAAGCAACTCAAATCCATGACCATGCACATATAAGCTGTGCACTAACCTACTAACCGCATGGGCCAGCACCGGTGTTAATTCTAAGGGCCCATAAAGCATGTGGAAAGTCCATTGTTTCCACTCAGGCTTCTTTCTTGAAGTGATCACAGCAGTAGTTTCTGTGTGCACAGCGTGGGTTCGATTATACAATTTGGATTGCTGCCATCAAAATCTCTGCTAGTGCCAAGACTCTAGTGCAGCTTTCTCTTCTTCCTGAATTGGTCCCCTCAATATCCTTCAAGCCACTGCATGACTATGATGAAAGATGGGCCAAATATTCACTTTTTCATGTGAAAATAGAAATCCATTACTTGTCCTCTTCAAAGCACTGACAATCCTAAACTCTGGCTTAAAAATCTCTTTGTCATGGAAACATTACAGTGAGAAACCAGCAAGGGTTACCTCGGGTAGTCAGCAGAGTTCTGCCAAGAGGAATGATCATTTCTGTTCTTATAAAAATGTGCTTCTAGGGCCTCAAAGGGTGTGAAATGGATGCAGTATTAATAATAACTAAGAACGAGACTAGCATTTTACTTTCATAAATAAGTGTAAAAATCCACTACTCAAGTGGTTTAATACATTCGACCATTTTAATTGTTATTACACAGCATAGACCATAGACATCTACTTAGAACTGATTTTGCATGATTAATTTTAATAATAATGATGGCTAACACTTACTTTGTGCCAGGCACTCCTAAAGTTTAGGGCTTTACAATTGTTATCTCTACCACGTCAGAAGACAGGTGCTATTATTATCTCCATTTTACAGATGTGGAAATTGAGCCAGTTGAGATTTTGGCTCTCCCACAGTCACACAGCTATTAAGTGTCTGAAGCCAGATTTGAACTCAGGTCTTCCTGACTCCAAGCTCAGTGTTCTATCCACTGGACCCCCTAAATGCGTCTGGAAGCATTTTTAAGACTTGTCATTAATTTTACACCTCCAAATTTATTTATTTTTCTAAAGGTTCATACCAATAAATATATTTTTAAACATTTTAATGGCTCAGAAAAGGAAAGCGTTGAAGGGTTTGGTTTTAACAACTTCTATGATTTTTCTGATTCTGCCTTCATGGAATACAAGAAGAGTAATTAACAAGAATGATCTTTTTTAAAAAAACATGAATTATGCTAATTTCTCCACTCCTGTTTGCTATTTTAAAAGCCAGCTACCTTCTCCCTGTTTTACATATCATTTTTGTATATAATATATATAAAAATGTGTAAAATTCATATTTTTGTGAATAGTCACATTGGCTGCTACATAAAGCAGACTCTGGATACATACAGACGTACATACATACATACATACATACATACATACATACATACATACATATAGCTCTTAGAATTTAACCTGTCTGCCTTTCACTGACTTAGCCAAGATGACATATTTTTTTGAAGATGTACATGACATGTATTTATCTAGATACACATCTATCTGTATGAAATTGATGTCTACATATTTATCTAGACGTATGCATCTAGACACATATCTGCCCGTTTCTCTCTATCTGCATGAAGTTGATGCCATACATTTTAACATTGAGTGGCCCACATAAGTAAACACATACACACACACACACATACACACACACCTTTATATATACATTGAGAAATTTCAGAGGTATGCCTGAGCATGGTTAGTTAGTTAAGTATTTTTGGTCCAGAGGAAGGAACTGATATTTTAAAAGTTTTATTTTCATTTGCAAATACATGATAGAAGTTGAAACCTGAAGAATTTTAATAAAGTATGATTGGGGGAGCCAAAAATAAAAAGAGGCAAATAAAAATTAGGCCTCTTGTTTCTTACATACTTTTGCTTTAGTCATATCTTCGATCTCTGTATTGCTCCTGTATTATGCTGCTGGCATTTTTTCAATGCATGATGGATAAACTTTCAGAACTGTCGGTTTCATAGTGATAATATTCATGATAATCTATCTCTGTATGTGCCTCTGTAAGACACTCCTTCATTCATTCCTGTTTAATAATTTCCTCTTTCTCTCTTTAACTTGTTTCCCATTGCCATCGCATGTACTCTTGTGCTTCCGTCTCTCACCTTATAGCCATGCCAAAGTCAATGGTCGTGTATACCTAATAATAAATAGGTGGGTACTTCAATGTTTCCTTTCCTTTTCTAAATACTGTGCCTTGATTTGTTATCCTTCTTACTTAAATAAAAAAATTATTTATCTGAATAGTATTAGGGTATTTTCATGGATGCATTATTTAGCATTAACTCATTTGTTATGCTTATGAATTTAGACATTTTTAATTTGGTCATTACTTAGTCCTTTTCTTTTTGATTTGAAATCATTTCACCATTTAGCCAGTTCTCTTGGTAGAATTATGTAGTTCAAAGGCTTATTTTTAATCTTTCCTACTTACAGAAGGGCATCAGAAATATATAACTAAAACAAGTTTATAGAAATTCCAGTTTCTTTAAATTTAAGATATCTTCACTTTCCAAAATATTATTATCTATTTGAGATGAGAACATTAACTCTCATCCATTTGGGGAAAGAGTTAGAATATACTTGGAATAAGGAGCATCAGGCTTTAATTTATTTGATGAATTTTTATTGAGCACCTACTGAATAGAATCATGGTGTTAGGTATTATGAGTGTACAAAATCTAATAAGACATCATCTGTCCTTTTTAAGATTCCTGATTTTTTAATATAGTGGAAGAGTTGACAAATCTACCCAAATTCCAAAAAAGAAGAGGTGGTAGTTGGTGCCATATAAAAAGATTTAGCTCATATGTATCAATGCTCAAAGACTGAAAATACTATATTATTTCTATGTTATTAATGGAAATAAAAAGCTAGCTCACAGATTAGTATACTGAGAAGAAATACTGGAGGTAGTTAGGTGGCTCGGTGGATAGAGTGCTGGAGCTGGAGGAGGAAGATCTGAGTTCAAATTTGGCCTCTGACACTTACTGGCTGTGTGACCCCCACTGAACCTCTGTTTATCTTAATCCACTGGAGAGGGAAATGGCAAACTCCATTATCTTTGCCCAGAAAACCCCATGGACAGCATTAGCATCCACAGGGTCACAAAGAGTTATACACAACTGAACAAGTGAACAACAACAGAAAAAAAAGTGATAAACACATGAATATAGTTTCTTTATAAAATGTTCAAAGCTGGAAAAGACCTTAGTCCTACTCCCAAATCTTACCGAGGAAACTAAATTCACACAGCTCATTAATTAGTGGCAGAGCTTAGGATGAATCTTTGGTATCCCACTTCCCAATCCAGTTTTCATTTTTCCCATCTGCCTTACTCTTCACGGTTTTATTATTTTCTTCACATTTAATTCACAAACACAAGAGCACAAGATATGAAGCTTCTTGAGCTTTTTACCATTAAGCTGGTCTCTTTGTTTTTTTTATCCTTGAGCTTAGACTAAATCTTTGGATTAAATCTTAAGTAGTAAATTCTAGGAAAATAGGACATAAGACCCAAGTCTCTATGGAGCCATAATAGCCATTTGTAAAGTAAATCAACTGGGTTTTTTTTTTTCCATACATGATTCAAAACAAATTTAGCTTATTATTTTATATATTTCAAATTTAACAAACATGTTGTCATCTCCATTGGAAAAAAAAGGCCACAGTTGGGTTTTCAGGCCTATGTAGAGAAAGTATAGTTACTAGACTCCAATGTAGGACTTTTGGTGACCTTGGAAACCTCATCCTTCTAGACTGTGCTGCTCCTAATGCACTTACTAGTTGTTCCAGGAAGAGATCCAGGAGGCATAGTATAGGATAAGAATAATTTTCTTCCATGTTTTTTTCCTGTGGAGCCCTTTGATTGACTTTATGCTATTGAATATGCCTAATGGCAGTTGTTTCAGATTTGTTTCAGGAACAGGCACCTGTGACCCATTTACCCAAAATCAGAGGGGATCCTTTCGGTGTTCTATATTGATGTTAAGATTTTTTTTTTCAAAAATTCCTACACCAAGCAAAATCAGCAAGTATGATGAAATTAATGTTAAGAATTCCAAATTCTGTTGCTCTTTAATGTTTTCAAAACATTTTTAATCTCAACATGTTATATAAGGATCAGTTTAAAGAATTGTGGATATTTAATACGCAGAAGAGAAAACTCCATGGGACCATATGTTCAAACATTTGAGAGGCTATGTGAAACTATTTTAATAGTTATCTAACTAGTCTTCCCTACTCTAGTTTCTGACCTCTAGTCCACAGTTTGTAATCCTGTGATTATATCATTCCTCCACTCAAAAACCTTCAGTTGCTTCCTATTCCTGACATTAAAGACTAGCCTTAATCTGTATCCAACCTACCTTTCCCAGCTTCTTGTCACACTATTCCCTTTCATGTACTCTATATCTAGTCAGAGTAGACTAGTCATCCCATATATTCATCCTAGCCTCTCCCATTTTTTATGCCTTCACTTACTCCCATGCCTAGAATGAGTCCCATCCCATCTCTACCTGTCGAAATCCTTCCCTTCCTTCAAGGACTAACTCAGGCACCCATTTCTACTATGAAGTATTCTCCAAACTACCCTGCTGAAAGTGATCTTTCCTAAGATTTCTCATAACACTTTGGGAACTTTCCCTCCTTCTAATCACAGTATTCCTTATACCATAGTTATCTATAGACATGTTTTATTTCCCCTTATCATGGTGGAAGAGTTGCCCTTCATCCTCATGGGAAATGTAGTTCTAAACTAGATAAGATGTATAGCTGTTGCACAGCAACACATCAGTTGTAGACTTTCTCTTGTCTGACTCCAGGTAGAGCAATTTTTTCATGACAAAGACTGTGTCTTATTTCACATTTATATCTCAAACACCCAGAACAGTGCCTTGCACATGATAGACATTTAATACATTTGTCTAGTCAAATTGAGTAGTACTTAATAATCAGAGTATTAAATCAGCATGCTATGTGTCACAGTGTTTCTACAGTTCAGGGACAGAGTCATAGCAGCATTGATCTAGATTTGAAAGGGACCTCAGAGGCTATCTGGTCCAATCTTCTTATTTTACATATGGGGAAACTGATGTCAAATGAAATTAAGCGGCTTGCCCAAAGTCACCCAGTTAATAACTTACAGAGGTGAGGTTTGAACTCAGGCCCTCTGACTCTCAAGCACTGCTATTCTTTTCACTGTACCAAGAATTGCAAATGCCATGGGAAATCATTAATCTGGACTAGCCTTTGTGAAGGTCCATTTGAATCAATGGAAAGTATGAACTTGGATATTTGAAAGGAAAATTTTTTATTTCTTTCCAACACATGCATTAAATAAGTAGAACTGGCCTGACAAAATTCTCTAGCAGGACTGCTTAAGGGAATTACTTTTTATTACTTATAATTAGCTTACCAATAAAATGAAAATGGGTCTTTTAGATGTTCTTGAGAAGAATTTATTATCTTAGTTACTTTAAATATTCCACTTGAAATCTTGTTTACAGTATTAATATGCTTGGCAAACTCTTTCTTCCTAGCATGTTCAAAGGTAAGTTCAACCAAGCTTCGATTCGAATGATCCACTATTTCAGAAATATGTTGGCATAAATTAATGATATTCTGGTAGGATTTTCATTTTATTAAATGGACATTTTGATATGAGGATATTAAGACACTTATCCAAATCAGACAGAATCAGATCCCTTTGACTATGATTCTAAATATTGTTGATCTCTCCTAATATCACCTTATTTAGAAATTTTGTGCTACCAGATACCCAGGCATCTCCTGCTGGAATGATAACCACAAATGCCCCAGTATAGTTACAGTTCTCCTACTGCACAAAACTTCTGCTCCATGTCACGATGAAATACTTCTTGTGGAAGTATTTACACAATATTAGACTTCCAGATACAAAAGAATGGAAGGTATATAAAAAGAAGAGCATTTATGAAAGAGGTAGTCAGAAGCATGTTAAAAAGTCTGAGAAGTGAAGATCCTAACTAACAAATATATGGCTTTACTAGTATAAGCAATGCGAAACAAAACACAGGGGAAAGAAAAGAAGTCACTGTGGGGAAAGGTAGACTACAGGTATGGGATACAGGTCTTGAAGGATACAGTTGTACTTATCTCATTACCAATTCTCTTAGTTACCACTAAGATAGTAACCTTGAGTTTGTGAGGTAGAAAAAGGAATCCCAAATCCCACTTCATTTCATATTGCAATGAAATGCTTCATCCTGTATGTATTTTTGAAATGTTTCTACCCCTCTAAGTGTAAAAGAATCATCTTTTTTTGTTCTTTATGCATATATTTTGATATTTTGTGTATGTTACAAAATAGTCCACATGTAAGAAGCCTGAGGAAAGAAGTTCTCTGATATTTTGAATCTGTGTCTGAGTGATTGGCAGGATCTATCTCTGCTAGGGTAGCCGTACAGTGACTGATCAGATTAACCATTTAGTGATTGATTCATTGTCCAGGGTTTGGTACATCAAGGCACCTTCCCCTCCACTTAAAATGTAAAAGAACCCCAATGTAGACACATAAGAAACCAGAGGCAGCAAGCATTTACTTAGATTTCTTTGTTCTTTTCATTAATTGAAAAATTAAAATCCCTTTACTAGGTTCATAAATGTTTATATAAGTTTAACTAAGATAGATAGCTTTGGCTGTACATGAGATAAAGATGTTAGTCATCTACTGTTAATTTTTTAAATTATCCATCAGTTATACTTCTAACATCTATAATTGGCCTTATTCTTCTCTATGTACACACCGTTCATTAAAATTGCACACAGTCATGGGGCAGCAGAGTAAATATACAAGTGGGTGAATATACAATTCGTTCACCCATGGAGTGAATTTTATTACATGGGAAAAAAAAAATTAGGGCAGCTAGGTGGCATGGTGGATAGACTCCAGGCCTGGAGTCAGGAAGACTCATCTTCCTGAGTTCAAATCCACCTTAAGACACTTACTAGCTGTATGACTCTGGGCAAGCCATTTAACCCTGTTTGCCTCAGTTCCCTCATCTGTAAAATGAGATGGAGAAGGAAATGGCAAACTATTCAAGTATCTTTGCCAAGAAAACCCCAAATGGGGACACAACTGAAAAACAACAACAAGGCACTGTGTGCTTTGGTAGTGTTTCCAAATACTTTCATACCTTTTCTGGCAATAATTTTCAGAGATGGACTTTGTTAACCAGATGTTGAATACAAAAATGAAGAGAAGAGAAGAATTTTCTTCAAGATTAGCATTACCTTTTTTTGTATAATATATAGCAGTTTAAGTCATATATATTATATATACACATAAGTGCCTATGTGTACATATGCAAATGTGTGCATATTAAACCCAAGATTGAGTGATCTGTCCAAAGTCATACATACAGTAAGTAGGAGGGCAGAAACATAATTGGAACCCAGGCCTTCTGACTCCAAGGCGAGTATTCTTTCTACTATACACTGCTGAGTTCCCTGAATGCCCTAGATATACTACTTTTCAGTATTATGGACAATTGAATCCTTTATTGTTATTGCAAGAAATAGTTTCTAACTTGTAACCAGAAATGCTATCCTGCTGAAATGCTAGGTACTGCTAGAGGAAAAAGTACATACACACAGTTCTATAGAGCATGCCTGGATTAACTTTTGATAAGATACATTACCTAGATGATTGAAAGAACCACTGGGATGGTAGAATGTGGTCATATAGCTCAAGATTAGATGTATTTTCTGAAGACAAAACCTGCAGATAGACACACATACATATGACAAAGGCAAAATGACTAATAAGAAATGGTCATCATAAATTACCCCACCAATGTTGACAGAACATCTTTCTTTAGCCTTCTCTTCATTGTTTTTTTAGTTTAACTTTCTACATTCTTGCTCCCTTGATCCAGTGTTATGCTTTTGGTAGGGTTGTTTTTTTTTTCAAGAATTGGCAACTCTGTCTGTAGTTAGTCTGATTCTAATAGCTTTTCCATCCAATAGAATTGTAGGATTTAAAGCTGAAAGGAACCTTAGAGTTCTACTAATCCAAACTCCTTATTTTAAAAATGAGGAAACTAAGGCAGAGAAGTGTGATCTTAAGTAAATCACTTAATCTCACTGGCCCTCCATTTCTTCATTTGAAAAATGAGGGGGATTGAAATAGATTGATTCTGTGGTCCTTTCTGCATCTGAATCCTATGATCCTGGTTTACTGACCAGAAACACAAAATTTATCATCCCTCAATACTCATTCTCACTCATGCACAGAGTTCTCACACATTCCTTCTTACTGCTGTCCAAAGTAAGATATTAAATCACCGAATACCAGAACTGGACACATTATAGACTTCTTAAGGCTAAAAGCATTTGCCTTCCTCTGTGTAGTGCTTTATTTAAGTGAAGGTAGAGTGGAATGAGTTTATGCAAAGGTTGACTAAAAGCATACTTCATTTAAAAAGATGAAAACTTATTTGAAATGTGAATGGTATGATTCATGTGAGACAGTTTGCTGCATTACTAAACAGCATGCTATGATAATGCCCCTTGGGAGTTTATACACCCTTCTTTACAATGCTGTCCTCCACTGTCCATCTGTGCTTAGTATAGAGTTCTTAATAAATGCATGTCGTTGATGCCACTCTGGAATGCATTTGGCATTAGAAAGCTACTGCAGATGGCATACAGGAATGCACTAGAGGATGTTGTGTAGCATGATATGTAATCTCTGACATTCCTTTTAACCCTTCTGTTCTCATCTCCTTTTTTTCCTTTCTATTTCAATTACTTTGAGCAGCATCAAGAAAAAATTACCAATCCACCAAAATGAGTAAGTCCCCCTGTGAAGCCATGAAATGCTTGCTCTTACATGATGCCATTTCATGCTTCTACATCCTAAACTCTGACCATTTTTTCCTCTGGGAAAAATGTCAAGTTTAGGTGTTGATAGCACTCATTACTGACTAATCATTAGAACCTGAGTTAGAAAAACTAACTCACCCCAATTTAGTTTGCAGTATGTTTTTAGAAAGTGCTTTAAAAAAAGAAAGAAAAGAGGTTAACATTCATCAGTTGAAAGGCATTTGTACGTGCATTAATTTTTTGCTTTGGTTTTATATTCATTTTGCTTGCCCCCACATTCAAATTGCTCATTATACCACTGCGTCTGTTTACTTGGTCATTCTCTGCCAACAGATTGGCGAATCCAGAGGGAAGCCTTCCAGACCTCGCCATGATGAATCTGACTGCAAGCATGGAAAAGGAGGCAATGAAGAAGCTTGAAGAGGATGGTCAGGAGAAGACAGAAGAGTATTATGAGGAAGAAGAAAAAGGTGAGGATAGAAAAGACAGTGAAGATGAGGAGGAGGAAGATGAAGATAGAGAGGAGGAATCCGAGGAAGAAGAAGAAACTTCAGGTAGTTTATATACAGCTAACTGTTGACTGACTTCAAAGGGGAAAAATATTTATCCTGGCAACTTTTATTAAAATTAAGTGACTCTAATCCTGGTTTATAAAGTTCAATATTTCTCTGACAATTTTATTTCTAACTGTGAATAGAAGGTATGCAAGGGGAAAATATTTAGAAATTCTCAAGTATCCCTTGTTCCAGGTCCCTCAAAGGGCAGACTAATCATACTTATCAAATAAATTGAACACAAAAGTCAGAATGTTCCACAGAGCCATTATGCAGTGATATGTTAAATTACAAATTATAACCAATGTAATTTTTTTTTTTACTGAATTAAATTTACTTTTACTTTTCTATAGACAGCAAGGGCAGGTAGGTGGTACAATAGATAGAGTCTTAGGCCTAGAGTCAGGAAGACTCATCTTCCTGAGTTCAAATCTGGCATCAGACCCTTACTAGCTGTGTGACCCTGGACAAGTCACTTAATCCTGTTTGTCTCAGTTTCATCATCTGTAAAATGAGGTAAAGAAGGAAATGGCAAGCCACTCCAGTTTCTTTGCCACGAAAACCCCAAATGAGATCATGAAGAATCAGACACAACTGCAGCATGTAAACAGGAATGTAGTAGCACAAAACATTTTCTACTCTAGTATGATGTCTACTGAACTTTTTTTTAAAGTACTCCTCTAAGACGCTCATTTGTGGGATGGTATTGAAAGAAAAAAAAGTCAAAGCTCTGTACAATACTAACTTAATGGACAGATTTAAAACTTTGCTGTGCCACATTCTCTCAAGAAATTCTTCCTAAATTACTTTCATCTTCTACAACAATATGACAGTCTTTATCAGGGATTTAGACCAAATAGGTATGGTCCTTACAGCTGAGTAGGAAAAGATACAGCATTCACTTCATTTTATTGATTATGATAGATGAATAGAATAAAATATGAACTCCTCCTTTTGGCATTTAAAGTCCTTAGATATCTGGCTACCATTCTACTCTAGTCTACTCCATATTACCTTCCTTCACCCACTTTATGTTCAGACTTAACTGGTCTGTTTTTTTTTTTTATTCTCCATTCAAAATCTTCTGTCTCTGTGCTTGGAACACAATTTCTCCTCTGCCTCTTAGAATCCCTCATTTTGGGGCAGCTAGGTGGCTTAGTGGATAGAGCACTGGCCCTGAAGTCAGGAGGACCTGAGTTCAAATCCGGCCTCAGGCCAAACACTTGACACTAGCTGTGTGACCCTGGACAACTCACTTAACCCCAATTACCTTAAAAAAAAAAAGCTGTGTACAAATGTAAGAATCCCTCATTTCCTTCAAAGATTAATTGAAGTGCTACTTCCCCGATGGGTTGCTAGTGCTTTTTCTCCAGTAATTACTTTGTATATATTTCATTTTGTTTGTAACATGCATATTATTTCCTTCTTCTCCAATAAAATCAAAGCCCCTTGAAGTCAGGGCCTATTTCACCACCTAGTACAATGACTGTCACATGGTAAGTGTTGAAAGCTTGCTGAATAAAGCCAAAGAATCTTTCACTATTCATTTTCTGCTTATCTTTTCATTGTCAAAGTTAGACTAAGGATCACTAACTATAGAGCACTAAATCAAAGAATTCTTCATTCTCTCAGGTCAGTTTACTATTTTGCAGATTTAAGAAACAAATGGCATCTAGTAATTGACCGCCTCACGGTACTATTCTTAAAATTCCTGGAGTATTTTCACAAGCTGCAGGTTTTCATGTGGTGGATTTTGGAATTGCACATCATCAAAATTGTTTCATCATATATCATCTGGGTAACAGTAAAAGAGGCAAGTATACATTTGATTCTCAGATTGAGCTTAGATGCTGATGATCTTATGTGTCCTCCACACTCCTGTTTATCATGCTCTCCCATAGCCTTTGTATTCACTGTCTTCCTACTTAAAAAAACAATGGCCAGAGTTGTTGGAACATATTATTTCTTCCTCTGTGCATCAGTCACAAAAGCTGCTTATCTTTTGGAGAGTGCATTGAAGTTGAGCTGCCCCATGAATTCCTTCATCATTTTTCCTAATATGAGGGAAGAGTTCTGGACTAGGAGTTCAGAACACCTTAGTTTAATTCCTGGTTCCAATTCTGGCTAGGCAGGTGCTTATGGGAAAATTACTTTATATCTCTGACCATCAGCTTCCTCACCTGCAAATGGGGATGATCTATACTACATACCAATGTTGTGAGGTAAGCACTTTGTAGACTAAAAGATGCTATGTAAATCTGAGCTTTTATTACTATCATTATCATGTTGGGATGATTAAAAACTAGTTGAATGGCCAGACCCAAAGGTTTGTGGAGCATTGCAGACCTGAAGTTTCTAGTAGAGTTTCTGTTATTTTCAGCTTTTTTATCAATGGCTTAGAAAATAGGAAGTCAATTTGTTACTCTAATATATTTCATTGATATAAATGAACATTTCCTGAGTCCTAACAATATTCCAGATGCCATAGGAAACATAGAATTGGGCAGAATCCTATTGTCTCCTTAATCATTATTTTTAACTGAGGATAGACAGGAAATGTTTGTATTAAACATAAAATTTTTCAGTTTACAAGGTAAAACTGGCTTGTAGCATGGTCTATATGAATCTTTAAATTTGTCTACAAATGATATGAGAACAGAAACAAAATTGTTGGAATCATACATTGAATGAAGATTCTCTTGAAATTAAATTTTATTATGTAGGAGTTAAGTAAATTGCTGTGTTTTCTATTTTCTGGCTGTTAAAAAGAGGACCTAGTACTTTTGGTCACATCAAATGTCAGATTTAAGCAATCTTAAAATATAGCAAACAAAACTAAATCAACCATAGCCTGTCACTCCCACTCCCCAAATATACATGCTTTAAAAACAAGAACTCTTAAGGTTGGATTCTCGAAAAGGGGAAAACATCATTTAGAGGTGGTTTTGACAATCCTATCAATGGATTTTTTTTTCAGTTGTCTCCTGATGAGATGAGTAGTGAGTGTTCATTCAGATCTGTATTGTGCCCCTATAAGGGACTAGGTCATAAGAGATATTTAACAAATCCCTTGTCAGTAATTAAATTGATATGCAGCATTATTGTCACTGTGGTGCTGAGCATTGGTGCTGTGTTCTCAAGACTGAGTACTTGAAAGATGATTTAATATTTTAACTATCTTTTTAACATTGTATGGATATTCACCTTATGGAGCAAGATATCATGATGATGTTCAAGTCTTTGAATTTCACAAAGGGAACTGTTCAAATTCACAGAGCACTAAAAATGTCTCCACTTTTTTCTATACTTTCTACATCTTTTCCTCTCTCTCTCCATCTTCTGGTTGTATGTTCTTAGGTGTCTCTCTTCAACTACGTATTTTTGATTTCTTGGGCTTTTGCTCTGCCGTATGCCCAACTACGCCGTCTGGCTTCAAGCATCTGCACTGTCTGGACATGTGTGATTATTGTCTGCAAGATGTTATACCAGCTTAGCACCATTGATCCTGCCAAATTTTCTGTTAATTGTACCTGGGTAAGCTACCCTGATGAAAAACCTTAAAAATATTTTGGAAAATTCACTTTGGGGGAAACTATTTTGGGGGAAGGTTGGGGAAGCATTTCTAAGAAAATTCCACACTCCACGTTTTGGAGACAGCTCTCAATTTGTGGGAGCTATAAGAGAATTATACCTTGTTTTTTGGAGTCCCTCACCTTCCAGGGCTTCTTAAACTTTTTCCAATTGCAACCTCTTTTCATGTTTCCACAGTTTTCCTTCGTGTTACAAGGCTACAGTGAAGTTGCCTGATGAAACATGAGCAAGGGCTGCTAGAAACACCTTGGATTCATTGCACATTTGATTTTTAATTATTTTTGTTCGTTTCACATTCAGAAATCTTTTTTGTCCATTGCCAAATTTTTCATGACCCCATATGGGGTCATGATCCACAGTTTAAGAAGTGCTGAATTCCTAGACTACATATAGCCCAATCTATCTTCAGTGCTCGTATCTACCCTTCATTGTAATCTTGGAAAGATATCTCTCCATAGATGAATGATATAAATTAATGATGGGAATGTAGTTGTTCTCCTTCCCTACTTGCCACTAATTGTTTTTCCTAACACTAAGAGATGGTATACCTTTTTCATTTCAGCCAAATGAAAATCAAACAAATATAAATTTAACATATTTGAACACATCCATGCTCTACAGTGGTCCCATTGATCCATCAGAGTGGGTTGGACTGAGAAAATCTTTTCCATTGCTTGTATACCTCAGGGTAACTACTTTTAACTTCCTTGATTTGATGTGCATCATTGTTTGAAATTTTTTCCTTTTTTTTGCTAAATTTGTTTATTTGAAATTTGAAACATTACAATGGTCTGTAGCAGATATGTTAATATCTCAGTGTAACTCAGCTGATAACCGTGGATTACTATTTGCCATTTTGATTACCTTTAAGTCACATAATCAATATGTTCTCTTTAAACTCAGGTTTGGTTTACTCAAAGGTGTATGCTTTGTCTTATTGTGGTTTAGAAGCACGAAAAGAGGGGCAGCTAGGTGGTGCAGTGGATAGAATACTGGCCCTGAAGTCAGGAAGACCTGAGTTCAAATCCAGCCTCAGACACTTGACACTTACTAGCTGTGTGACCCTGGGCAAGTCACTTAACCCAAATTGCCTTTAAAAAAAGGCATAAAAGTAACATCAGACTCGGAATCAGTCATAATATTAATATATATAATACATTTTAAGTATTGTGGCATTTTTATTATTTTAGACAACATAAACACTTTTCTCCTTAACCAACAGTATATTTGCAGTGCAATTTAAAAAGGAAAGAAAATTCTTTAGCACTTAAACTAAGTATGTATGTAAATTTTTTTAAAAATAATTTAATACATTTAAATAATTTGAGCCCCTATTTCTTCAGCACTGTATTATCTAACTTTTGTTTACATAGCAGACTATGCTAAAGTATCATGTTATATGAAAATCCACTCTGATTGCAGTTTTAGTCTGTTCTCTGTAAATGATAGATCTCATGCTTCTCGGCTGTCAATAGCTATATTTGAAGAATTTACAAAATTTCCCCTCCAAATAGTGGATTTCCCTCACCTTTTGTGCTTCAGGTTAATAAGCTTGACAGTATATACTCTGTTTGAAACATAGCCTTTCAAACTTTTAGTTCCAGACAATGTTGACCCCAAAATGATGGTATATCTATATGTTGTCTTGTGTAATATGTTCTGCTATTTTAATTTTCTAGGTATGAGGAGAGACCAGAAGTAACTTTCTTCTCCCTCCAAAGTTCTATCTAATGAATTGCATCATGGGAATTAGCATGACCTACTTGGAGAGAATAATTAAATTTTAGTTGTAATAAAATGTAGGAAATAAATGTATCTTTCCATAATATATAATGCTATGCCATTCTATAGTATATCTTACTCTTACTATGTATAAGCAGTGTGCTATAGTGGAAAAAAGCATTGGCTTTGAAGTCGAGAAGACATGATTTCAAATCCTACCCTTAGTACTTATTAACTGTGTGACCAAAGGCAAGCTACTTAACTTTTCTGAATCTCAGTTTCCCTATTTATAAAAGTGGATAATAATGTCTAGTATCTACCCCCCATGGGAATTATAAGGATCAAATGAGATAAGGTATATAAAGTGTTTCAGAAATCATTAAGCACTATGTAAATTTTGGCTTTATTATTATCATTATTATTTTATAAATATTTTCATATTTATTATTATACAACCAGAATGTAACCAAGCCCGGGGCATTTTTTGTCTTCAGATGGAATGAAATAATATTGTCTATTTTAAAGATTTATTTAAGATTATCAAGGCATAAAATTTTGCTCTTCTCTTATAACATCTTTTTCTCACTTTATAGAATAATCTACTGATGCTAGCTATCCTGGCCTTTGAAGTAACTATTTACCGCCATCAGGAATATTATAGATGTAGAAATAACCTTACAGCACCTGTGTCTAAAACCATTTTTCATGACATTACAAGACTGCATCTGGACAATGGACTTATCAATTGTGCCAAGTATTTCATAAACTACTTTTTCTACAAGTTTGGGTTGGAGGTAAGATCCCTTAGACCAAACTTTTATTTTTGGTAACTATTTGGTAGGCTGCCTTTTGTAATATATACGAAAATTTAAATTTCCAGCATGCGTATGTGTACATGGCTTTATTGCCTAGACTGAGATTCTGTCTCATACACTTAGGGTTAAGATAGTTTTTAAACCAGACTGTAAGCTTGTCAAGGTCAATGACACCTTTTCTCCTCTTGTATCCAACATGGTTCCTAGCATAGCACTAAATATAACATAATATAATTGATATAATATAGTATTATATTGTACAATACAAACAACATATGCAGTACAACATGGTACAACACAATACAGTATAAGAGGCACTTCATGAGGACTTGTTAGCTCCAGTTGATCCAGTGCTGTCTGTGGCCTTTTATGTTTTATGACTACTATAAAATTGATATGCCTTCTAAGTCTCCTTTACCAGATACTTAAGTTTCTCCAAACATATTTAGTATGGGAGCAACAGGAAGGCCTGACCTAGAGTAGTCCACTTCTGAATGAGTAGAATTTACTGGTTTTTTGCTCCCTCTATTCACTGAGCTGAATACTACACCATGCTCCCAGTAAGTTCATTTTACTCTAGCAATGTAACTTGATCTTTTTTTGCCTCCCTTTTTTTTAGCCAGTTTCAATTCAATTCAGCAAATCTTTAATAAACACCTACTATGTGCAAAACACTGTGCTAGTCTCTGTAAATAAAAAGGTAAAAAATGCACAGCTATTTTCTTAAAGGAATTTACAAACTCATGACTTTAAGCTTTAAAGAAATTATCTGAAAATACCATCTTTTCCCAAAACAAACTTAACGCTTCATAGCAGTGCACAAACTGTCCTTGATTTTGGAGAAGACATTGGGAACTGTTGTACAGAGATACATTTTCTGTACTTATAAGTAATGCATAGAGTAAAACTGAAAAGGAAAACCAAAAGAGGGAGAATGTCATTTACACATCTTTAGCTAACCAGCATAATTGACCATATCAATTACAAAATTAACAGAAATCATATGATTATCTCCATCAATGCAGAAAAAGCTTTTGACAAAATACAGCATCCATTCCTATTAAAAACACTAGAGAGCATAGGAATAGATTGCTCATGGGTAGACTGAGCCAATATAATAAAAATGACAATTCTACCTAAATTGATCTATTTATTCAGTGCCATACCAATCAAACTATCAAAATTATTTTATAGAGCTAAAAAAATAACAACAGAAGTCATCTGGAAGAACAAAAGCTCAAGAGAATCAATGAAAAAAATGTGAAAGAAGGTGGTCTAGCCATACTAGATCTCAAGCTATATTATAAAGTGGTAATTATCAAAACAATCTGGTACTGTCCAAGAAATAGTGGTGAATCAGTGGAATAGATTATGTAGAAATTACATTATAGTAAATGACTATGGTAATCTAGCATAAGATAAACCCAAAGATCCATTATTTGACAAAAACTTCTAGGCAAACTGGAAAACAGCTTGGCAGAAGTAAGATATAGACCAATATCTCACACCAATAGCAAGATACGGTCAAAATGGGTACATGATTTACACAAAAAGGGTGATGTTGTAAGCAAATTAAGAGAGCATGAAATAGTTTATCTGTCAGATTTATGGATAAGGGAAGAATTTAGGACCAAAGAAGATATAGAGAGCATTGCAAAATATAAAATAGATCATTTTTGTTTGTAAATTTTAAAAGTTTTTGTGCAAACAAAACAGACGCAACCAAAATTATAAGGAAAGCAGAAAACTGGGGGAAATTTTGCAGTAAATATCTCTGATAATGGCCTCAGAGATTACATATGAGACAGAGAAAAGAGGAATTGCAGTACAGATTTTTATAAGAAGGCACTCAGTAACACAAATAATTGCCATCTACTGCCACCCCATTCGGAGTAGCCTTCTGCAAAGCATTCCTATGATTCCTTCCACATTACATGTTCTTTTGCTTCTTATCCTTACACAGACCTGTTTCCTAATGTCAGTCAATGTAATTGGCCAGAGAATGGATTTTTATGCTATGATTCATGCCTGTTGGTTAATTGCCGTATTATATCGGCGAAGAAGAAAAGCTATTGCAGAGATCTGGCCAAAATACTGCTGCTTTCTGGCATGTATCATCACATTCCAGTACTTCGTGTGTATTGGCATTCCACCTGCTCCTTGCAGAGGTGAGGAATTCCTTCCTGAAGAGTTATTTGCTTTGATGATAAACTGTTGATGATTCTTGAGATGATTCTTGTGTAGGGAATTGGAGAATTATAACGTATTCACTGTGGCACTTTTGTTTTCTTACTTCCTTCCCTACTGTCCTCTCAACATTCTTTGCAGATTATCCGTGGAGATATCATGGTGCCAGATTTGACAACAACATCATAAAGTGGTTATACTTTCCAGATTTCATTGTACGGCCCAACCCAGTTTTTCTTGTCTGTAAGTATTTTAGCCCCAGGACCTGAATTGCTAGGTTTTGGTTTTATACTAGCCATTTACTCTACAATAGGAAACATAGCCTTTAACTAACTCTGTATTATCAACTTTGTCCATTTCACAGAAACAGATTTGTTTGAGGGATCTTGGATCTCCAAGAGAAAAGTTCTAAAATTAAAACCATTCTTTTGGTTTTATCCAAAGAATGTTTTTAAAAGATCATGTTTCCACCAATTCTACGTCTTAGAATCTTTAAAATGCCTGATTACTTGCCTAATTAGCTTTTTTCTTTCCTTACTCTTTAAAAGACCTCCCAATTCTTTAGAATATTTTTTAACTATTAACCATTGATATCAGTTTAGGCTTTGTAAAACAGGATTATGTAATTAAATTGCTAGTGAATCTGTTTTAATTGGTCCAAACAGTTATGTTAACATTTCCTCATGCATGTTTTGGCAAATATAGTTATGTCTTTTAACATCGCAACCAAATTTTGAGTGATTCCTGTAGTTGATACCAGCAAACAAAAGAAATCCAAAGTAGAAAGGAGATAAGGAAAGAGCATGCTCTTACAAATTGTACCTATATGTATATGTGGAAAATATATAAATAAATACACTTATTAAAGTGTCCATAAAATGTTTGAATTAAAATTTAATCAATAGTCCATTACATGATAATTGAAGTCCTAATTAATACAGAAAGAACCAATATAAAATCTACACATGTGACCCTAAATATGACCTATAACATTTACAAATGCCTAAAGAATCCAAGTTTGGAGCCCTTTGTTAACCTTATCCCCTAAAGTCATTTTTCCTGGTCCCTTGTTCACAATGTCCAGAGATTTATTGACCTAGAATTCTACTTTTCTCTTGTGGAAATATAAACAATTTACAAATTGAAGAATTATTCTGCCATAAGAGATAGCATCCTAGCCATCATAATTTGAAGGCAGAATGCTTTTTATTATAGGAAACCTGTTTCAAGTGGTTTTAGATATAGTAGAAAGGTAGTTAAAGAGCATGGCTTGATGCAGTGGAAAGAATGCTGGTTTCTAGTTAGTGGATCTTTGATTCCAAACCAGACCTGTCACTTTGTTATCTGTGTGACTTTGGGCAAGTCAAATCATTTCTCTGGGTCTAGTTTCCTTAACTATAAAATTAGAAATTAGACTAGGCAACATCAAGTCCACTCCCAACTCTAGCAACATTTATAATCTTTTATTCTGCGATTACCTGGTCTACATCTAATGGACTATTTAGCCATGGATGGGCTGTGATTTGTATAATCGTAGAGAAGATCAAATGTATGTGATCCCAGATCCATTTAAATATGATCTTACTGGTAACACTAAATGAAAAGAGCCATGGCTTGGGAACCTGTGTATCATACATTTTTATAGAAAGATGTTTACTGGCTTCTAAGCAGGCAGTTTTCTAGTAGAGCCCATTCACAAATTAGGGATTGCATGTACTGAGTAAAGACTGCTCTCTCTCCCGGCTACATACAGTGCCACTGCCCATAAATACAAATGAATAACTCACGCTTTCACTCTTAAAATACTGTCTTGCCAGATGACTTCATGCTGCTGCTGTGTGCCTCCTTACAACGGCAAACTTTTGAAGATGAAAACAAAGCTGCAGTAAGGATCATGGCTGGGGATAATGTGGAAATCTGTATGAGCCTCGATGCAGCATCTTTTAGCCAACATAACCCTGTGCCAGATTTCATTCACTGCCGGTAAAGATTACTTTTAACTCTTTGGGAGTAGCTTTAGGGTATGATTTTTACTTTCTTCTTTCCTAAAATCGTGATGTTTACAATAGTGAGTAAGATAAACTTTACATTGAAGTTAAATAATATTCACTCTGGCTTTTAATATGCCTTATGATTGCAAACAGAGGCAGCTTGGGGGTACAGTGGAGAGAATGCCAGGCCTCACATCAGGAAGACTCATCTTTTTGAGTTGAAATCCAGTCTCAGACATTTACTAGCTTTGTGACCCTGGACAAGTCACTAAACCCTATTTGCCTCAGTTTTCTCATCTATAAAAAGAGATGGAGAAGGAAATGGCAAACCACTTAGTTATCTTTGCCAAGAAAACTCCAGATGGAGTCACAAGATGTCAGATACAACTGAAAAACAGCTCAGCAATAACAACATGATTACAAACAAGAGTGTGCTGGAGTCAGCTTGAACTGGCTCACACAAGACCATTTTTAAATTTTCAGTGTGAGCATTTACAGTATGAGAATTAACAACAAAAAATCAGGGCTTGATTAATTCTTTTGTTGATTGTCTAGACTTAAGAAAGAGATGGAGAATATGTTAGTAATGAAAATTTGAAAGTGTATCAATGATACATTTTGAGGGCAAGATCCAGTTGTCAAACGATTACCAGCACATTGCTAATTAGTATGTATTTTGCATACATTAGCTAGCTAGGTCTGCACAAAAGCCCTGTGAGATAATCAGTGCAAGTATCATTATTCACATCTTTTGTTCAGCTGTTTCAGTCATGTCTGACTCCTGACTTTATTTGGAGTTTTCTTGGAAAAAATGATGGAGTGGTTTGCCATTTCCTTCTCTAGCTCATTTTACAGATGACGAAACTGAGGCAAATACGTGTTAGGTGACTTGCCCAGGGTCTCACAGCTAATAAGTGTCTGAGGTTGAATTTGAACTCAGGTCTTCCTGACTCCAGGCCCAGAACTTTATCCACTGTGCCACCTAGCCACTCACACATCTTACAGGAGAGAAAATTGAGTAAAGGAGAGAGAAATAACTCACCCAGGTTCATACATCATGTGGTGGAGATAGACCTCAATAAGGCAAAATGACTCAGTTACTTTATAGATAAACCTGTTCATTGCAATTCTTCCTCTGCTTTGACTCAGCTATAATCTTCAACTAGTTTCTTAATTTCTTTTGGTATCACTTTTCCATCTGCAAAATAAGCATGACAGTTCTATGTGAGAAGACAGTGTTAGGCTGACCCTTATCTCTACTACTAGTTTTGCTAGTGGAGAGATGTATGACCAAACTTCCTCGTGATGCTTTTTGATAAGATCATTTCCTCTCTTGAGAAGACAGGCCATTTTCTGGGCAGAATTCCCTTCTATTGGAATCATTTTATCTAGAATCAAAACATTCTTGGTATAATGTGCTTGAAACTTGGACCTGTTGATGTTTGGGAGTTCTTTTTTTGTTTTTTGTTTGCTTGTTTGTTTGTTTTGCTTTTTGGTGAGACAATCGGGGTTAAGAAGTGACTTGCCTACAGTCACACAGCTTAGTAAATGTCATGTCTCTGAGGCTGGATTTGAACTCAAGTCCTCCATACTCCAAGGCCAGAGCTCCATCTACTGCACCACCTAGCTGCCCCGTACTGATGCATTTTTTAGTCAAAACAACCCTAAAGAAAACTTTGATAGTTTGCAAGTTGAAGGCCCTCCTGGGGCAAGTCCTCTTCTCTCCGTGTACCAGTTTCCTTCTATGTAGATTGGCAGAAATAATACTTGCCCCTACCTACCTTACCGGGTAATTGTGAAGAAATTATTTGTTAACTTTCAAAGGACTGTGGAAATGTGTAATTGCTGTAGGAATATACTCTAATGGAAAATGCTGAGTTAAGATGGTAGACTCATGAGCAAAAGCACTCATGTACCTTACTCAAAGCACTCTACCTCAAGAGAAGCTGACAGAAAAGCAGAAGAAATAAAAATTGCTAGGGCTTACTTAAAGACAAATCTAGACTTGACCTTCCCTCTTCAAGGAAAGAAAAATATATAGTTCCACAAATAGAGGATTATCAGGAGTCATTTCTTAAGTGTTTAGTCTGCACAGAAAATATACAGCACATAGATGGATTGATGCACATACCCAGTGGAGTTACTTAGCTTTGTACACAACTACTAAACATAGATATATACAATAAAATGAAGGGTGCACAAGTCTTTGTCTTTTTATGTTTCTATGCACCTATTTTTCAATGAATGGCACCTGACAGTTGAAGTCAAAAGAGTGTATCACGCGCACAATTAAGGCTATGTTCCATGGCCTTCTTCAAAATAAGGTGCTTTTTAAGTCTACAAGCATTCATTGAGTATTTACTGTGTAAATTGGGACAGCTAAATGGCTCAGTGGATAGAGTACTGAGCCTGGAGTCAGAAAGACTTCAGTTCAAATATAATCTTAGACACTTACTAGCTGTGTGACCCTAGGCAAGTCACATAACTTTATGCCTCAGTTTCATCATCTGCAAAATGAGCTGGAGGGGAAACGGCAAGCCCCAGTTGGGGTTAGGAAGAGTTGGACACGACTGAAATGACTGAACGACAAAAAATAAATTAAATACTGTGCTAAGCATTAGGAATACAAAAAAAAAGTCCCATGCTATCATACTGAAATTCTAATAGGGAGAAAACATGAAAACAACTAATACGCATACAATATATGTATCATATAAATGGAAGGTAACCTCAGAGGAGGCACTAGTGGTGAGTGGATTAAACTGGAGGAGAAAACTAGTAGGAAATATTTCTTGGAGAAAGTAAGATTTGAGCTGAGTCTTGAAGCATTTCAGAGAAGCTGCAAGGTAGACAGGAGAAAGAGAACATTCAAGGCATGGAAGAGAGCCACTGATAAGGTATGGATTTGAGAAATGGTGTCTTGAAATATGTGATGAAAGCATCATTAGATTAAAGATTAGAGAGCGCATGGAGAGTCCTAAAGTTTAAGAAGGCCAGAAAGGTAAGAAAAGATCAGGTTGTGAAGTGTATGAAAGCCAAACAGAGGATACAGTTTGGCACTGGACCTTTGATTTCACTGGTACAGGGAACTCCCAGTTGAGAAAACCACCTCTCTCCATGTATTCTCTAAGCTATGTGGGTATATGGCGGTCTTGCTTCCACCATACTAAATTGTTGAAATATTCTTTTAAAAACACGGCTGGTTTTAGGTCATTATTTACACAGCTGTTTTTCCTTTCCTGGGGCTCTACTATTCTAATTGGTTCATCAGCTAACATTGGATGGGTCATGTGATCTTTTTAAAGCACCAAGCAGTGGTCAGATCTTATAAAAATTTTCTGCTCAGAGCAGTAAAAAACCACCAGCAGTAAAACAACAAAAATTAGAACATTGCTCTCTACCAATGCAAGTTGGCACCTTTTTTGCAATTTGCAGTCTTAACAATCTTAGAGAGTCTCTGAGACATTAAGTGATTTGCTTAGGGTTATAAAGCCAGTATGAGTTTGAAATGGATCTTGAATGTAAGGTTTTCCTACCTTCAAGCCAGCTGTCTATTTTGACACTCTACCTCTCAATAAAATTCTCAGGCCCTACCAATTTCCCCTCCCAACCTGCAAATTATGGGACCTCCCTTGCTCTGCCATCTCCATCCTTCCTCCAAGATCTGGCAGGGCATAAATGTTTGCACCCTCCAAAGCCCCTCATTTTCACAATCTGTTCTCTTTTTCACTCAAGCTGACTAACTGCATTGTCAGTGTGTTAGCCAGTGGATGACAAGAGTTTAGTGTTGGGGCAGCTAGGTGGTGCAGTGGATAGAGTGCCGGCCCTGAAGTCAGGAGGACCTGAGTTCAAATCCAGCCTCAGACCAAACACTTGACACTTACTAGCTGTGTGACCTTGGGCAAGTCACTTAACCGCAACTGCCTTAAAAAAAAAAAGAAAAAAAAAGACAACAGTTTAGTGTTAAACTAACAACTAGTGTTAGTCTCAGTAGTATTTGCTTAATAATAGGAGTTCAAGCCCTCAGCTAAATGATGGAAGGTAGGAATTTCAGGCAGGGACCAACTCTCTATCTCTTCATAAATGGGGCCCTACATAGTCTGGTGGAGAATATGTGAGGTAGCTGTTTACAGTTCCAGAAGCCAGAGCAGTACCAGGAGAATTTAGACAAATTCCATACGGAGCCAGAGATGGAAGACTAGCTTCATTCAGTCTGAAAAAATCTAATGGAGTAAGGGTTAAACATAGCTCCCTCCTCCCCCCACTTCCCTTTCAGGAGAATTCTTTAGAGCACCTGTGACTCTCTCAAAAACCAGCAGATGGTACCAGAGCACAGAAATAGTAGGACATCTCCCCAATTTTCCTTGAAAAAAACAGTTTCCCTTTCAAAGGGAACTAGATAAAACTGTCTTAGCCATGCAAAAAGGAGGCTTTCCTTATCAATTGCAAACTAGCTGAACAAGTTGTGTCATATGAATGTAAAGGAATACTGTTGTGCTATAAGAAGTGATGAGCAGGTAGATTTCAGAAAAACCTGAAAAGACTTAAATGAACCGATGCTGGGTGAAGTGAGCAGAACCAAGAGAACATTGTACACAGTAATAGCAATATTGTTCGATGATTAAATATGGTAGACTTAGCTCTTCTCAGCAGTACAATGATCCAAGACAATTCCAAAAGACTCATGATAGAAAATGCTAACCACATCCAGATAAAGAACTATAGAGTCTGAATGCATATCGAAGCATACTGTTTTCAATCTATTTTTTTTTATTTTTTCTTTTTTGTGGTTTTCCCCTTTTGTTCTGATTCTTCTTTCACAACATAACTAATGTGGAAATATATTTAACCAAGCACAACTCTGAAGGGCTGGCCATGTTGTTCAACTGCAAAATGTACACTTGCCAAAAAGACTTTTATGGAGAACTCACACATGGCAAGCATTCACATGGTGGTCAGAAGAAGTGATGCAAGAACACTCTCAAGAACTTTGGAATTGATTGTGTGACATGGGAGACACTGGCACAGCACTGCTCAACATTGCATGCCCACATCAGAGAAGCAGGCAGAATTGAAATAGCTCAAAAGAAATGCAAGATGCACAAATTTGGAGAATCCACCCAGGCTTGTGTTGGTCTGATCAACCACACTAAAACTTGATGTTAGCATAGCGTTGTCATTTTGGTCCTCTTTGAGAACCAAGGAAAACAACCAACCAATATGTATAACCAATATCATGTTGCTTGCTGTCTTGGGAAGGGGGGAGGGAAGGAAGAGAGGGAGAAAAATTTGGTATTCAAAATTTCACAAAAATGAATGTTGAAAACTGTCTTTACTTGTAATTGGAAAAAAATACTGTTAAGGGAAAAAAAAACAAAAATGAAGCTTTCAAAGACTATTTCAGACATTTGAAGGTGAATGGAAGTACCATTGTGATCTTTCTGTGTGCCGTTATTAAAAACCTCTACATTTAGCCCCTACATGAGCTTGTGCAGACAATAGAAATGCATTTTAATCTAACATTTTCAGATTATCCATCAAAGAAAATTCAAATAATTCTTTAGGAGACTTACAACCAATGCAAAGGCAAAAGAAGTTACAGAAAACATCAATATAAACATCCCATTTGTTGTTGCAGATAAGACATCAGAATAGTAGAAGTCTTTCAGTTGCAAAGTCAGTAAAATATCTTGAGAGGACAAGATGAGACTTTGGTTATTTGAGCTAACCATAGAGTTTTATTGTTTTATGAAAGTTGATGAAAAATTTGTTCACAGCAAAATGGTGAATATGATTTTACTGCCCTGTGGTAGAATTTGCTGATTATTCTTTCATTGTCCTGTTTTTGTGTTGCAGGTCTTACTTGGACATGTACAAAGTGGTTATCTTTAGCTATCTCTTCTGGTTTGTTCTTACAATCATCTTCATTACTGGAACCACTAGGATCAGCATATTCTGCATGGGTTATTTGGTGGCCTGTTTCTATTTCCTGCTCTTTGGGGGAGATTTGCTGTTGAAACCCATCAAAAGCATCCTTCGCTATTGGGACTGGCTGATTGCATACAATGTTTTTGTGATTACAATGAAAAATATACTGTCAGTAAGTGGCACTGTTGTAGTTCAGCCCATAACACATTTGTGGTTTAAATGTTAAGAGTAAACAATCCATTCAGTGGTTATTAAAAGCCCTTTGCTGCATCATATTGGTCTCAGAAAAACCCAAGATCTTGTGGCAGTTTGTTCAGATGCTGCCAATTTGGTGTCCCAATGACTATTTATTTTACTTGTTTTTCTGTATTAAATAAGTAGAGCCTTTTTTATTCTTTTCAAGCCCATAGTTGTGAAACACATGGAAATGCATTTATAGAAATGAGTTGTGGGGTATTTCTTTTAAAAATATTCACACCTGATACAACTAAATCTAATGCTATAAATGCCCATCTTGCAAAAAAGTGATATTTTGCCCATGTATATTAATATTTCCTTCTCTTCTAGAATGGAAGAGAGTACCTGATTTTAGCAGGTGTGATTTTTTTTTGGCTTAGAAACATTGATCTTTCTTAGAGAACTATGAGAGTATTAAATTCTCTTCCCTTATTATGTGATGGAAACAGTATGAGACAAGCTATTAAAAAGCATGTAGGATGTTCGTACATCATCTTTTGTATGGAAGGAGGGAGAAATAGAAACACTGAAAACAAATTGGCCTCAAACATGGGAAGAGTAGGCTCGCCCATTAGCATGGTTTGATGTTTTTTTTTTTGATTGATGAATATACTTTAATGTTCAGATGGGAAAAATGCTATTCTTAAATTTGAAGGTAAGGGTATCTCTTGGAGTATTGGAAAATTCATTTACTCCCTGGTAGTAATGGGAATGATACAAAAGTGTTTTTTAGATTATAAACATACTATTCAGTTATTTACTTCTCCACAAGCTTAAAAATGATCCTCTCATGGGCTAAAAGGGTTAACACTTCTCCAAATAATGACCCTGACTCAAAAATCAATTGCTATAAGGGAGTAGATTACTCACATATCAGTATGTAACTGGGTGTGCATTAGAGGGACGATGATGCAGTGTTTGCTTGCTTCTCTCCTGGCTTTCTTTTCTCCAAACTACTTAGGAATGAGCTCACTAGGCAATCTAACTATAAAACTCATTTGATTTGTTTTTGGCATGTATCTTATTATGTTAATGATAAGGAGATCAAAGCCTGTGTAGCTGTTCATACTTTCCTGCATAATTTATTTTATGAATAGGCCATAGAAACATCATTTCCATTATTCTTATCAATAATAGAAATAATGGCAATGCATATTAAGGACTTTCTTACCACCCTAGGTCTTCATTTTGTGAAGAAAGTGTATTGGAGTTAAGTGCATGAGAGAAAAAGACAGTAACTAGCAGGAAAAGGAAAAGGCTACAGAAAACCATAGCATTTTAAAGGCACTTAGGGATATGATAGTGGTGAACTGCTGGATCTAGGAGTGAAGAAAGCAGACACTATCACTTAGGCCTCCAGCTGCTTCTAGGAAATCTTGAAAATAAAGAATATAAAGGGAAAAGTACTGAACTTTATTAGTCCTGCTAATACATTTTTTACTTTTTTCCCACCACCATTCAACTCATCAATGACCCCACAGACATGGAATAAGGCCACACAGGATGAGGACTGTTTAGTATTTTTGTGTAATTTATGGGTTATCATGACAACAACACAACAAAAAAATTTAGCACTTGGTAAAAAATCTTCTGGTAATGAGCCTATTTATAATTAGCTTGGCAGGTCCTTAAACAATACTGATATAGATTTCCCCTGAGCCCAAACATAGTCTAAGCATTTCAAGTTTGGTAGAAATTTTCAAAGTTTATGCTGTAGTAGAATAGCCTTTATGAACTAACCCTGTGTTACCTCCATGTCAAAGTGAAACAATATATTTTTTGGAAGAAATAAGGTAACTCTCAAGACCTCTTTGAATTAATATTAAGTCATCTTTATCTCATTACTACTAAAGTTTCCTATTACACAAATGAGATATGAATTGGGTGAGCTTATTCCTAGAAAGTAGGAGATGCCGTTGTGCTGGCACTATTTCGATTCCAGTGTCTAACATCAACATCTAATCTATAGATTTATAGGGAATGCAATTCATTTGTATAGGAGGAAAAATTTCCAAACAATTAGAGCTATTAAAAAATGGATTGGGTTGCTTTCTGAGGTAGTGAGTCCTCCACTATAAAAAAGTCTTTAAATTGAGACTAGGTGACACCTTGTTGTGAGATGTTGTAGAGGCTTTATTCATTGTGTATATGTTTAGCTAGATGATCACAAATCCATTCCATCTCTAAGTTTCTATAAATTCAATTGTCAGTTGTTAGAAGTCTCGGCCTATAGTTAGCTTTTTAATTTGAGCTTATTTGAATGTGTTAAACTTTTTTTTATAATTTTAACTTGTTATTAATATATATTGGAAAACACAACATTGCCCCCAAATTTGAGCAGAAATGTTTCAGAAATACCCATTCTCATTGGAGTCATTTAAGTGAACACCTTCTATGTATCTGTTTCAAAGATGGAATAACATTTTTTTCCTGTTCTCAGACAGCTTAAAATCACAAATTTTCATGACTAGAAGGTCGTCTAGTATAATCAGCAGGAACATTGACAAGCTTGTAAACACTTGAACAAAGCATTCATGGTCCCACTAGATCTTTTCGAAGCTAAACATCCTAAGTTTTTTCAACTGATTCTCCTATGATATAACTTAATGGTATTTACCCTTCCAGTCATCTTCCCCTGAATGTTCTCCAGGTTATCAATGACTTTTCTAAAATGTGGCATCCAGGACTAAAAACAATACTCCAGGTGTGACTAAAGCAGAATACAATGGAACTATTATCTCCCTAGTCACAGATCAAAGGATCACAGATTCAGATTTGGAAGGGACCTAGAAGCCTTCCAGTCCATCCCCATCATAGATGAGGAAACAGATCCAGGAAATTGAAAGGATTTGCCTGATGTCATGCTGGCAACACGCATCTGAGGGGTGGGGCTGGGTTAGAATAAACACAAGTCTTTATATGTGGTTTTTCAGTTTTATATGAGGAAAAAAATTGTAACAATTAGAGCTGTCCAAAAATGAAATGAGTAACTTTCTGAAGTAATGAGGTCCCCATTATAATAGGTCTTGAACTTGACACTTATAAGCACAGTCCTGGATACTGTATTTCTTAAAGGAGCTTAAAATCACGTTCACTTTTTTGTCTACCATATTCTATTATTTATCTTTTTTTTTTCAGTTAAACTGCTGCTTGGCTATGGCTCTCCAATTCTATAAATTTATTTTTTAGCTGAAGTGTAAAACTTGAAATTTAGCAAGGATAAATGTTATGTATTAGATTCAGTCCAACATTATAGACTGTTGACACCTTTTTATATACCAGTCCTGTTTTGCAATGTAAACTCTCGAAGTTTTACATTAACTGAAAGTTTGATAAGCATGCCATCTAGGTGGCTCAATGGAAAGAGTGCTGGGACTAGAGTCAGGTAGATCTGAGTTCAGATCTGGCCTCAGACCCTTACTATTTTTGTGACCTTGGGTAAGTCACTTTACCTCTGTCTAGGTTTTCCCACCTGGAAAACAGGGATAATAATAGCACCTACCTTCAGTGTTGTAAGGCTCAATTTAGATAATAATTGTAAAGCACTTATCACAGTGCCTGGCATAAAGTAAGTACTATACAAATGTTAGTTATTATTAACTATTATTATTATTATTATTATTATTGCTATTATTATTATCTATTCATTGATCCAAGTCACTGACAAAAATGTAAAACATAAAAAACCTAGCACAGATTTCCCCAAGGCAGTCCACTGATGACCTCTTTCCAAGTTGATATTAAACCGTTAATTATTAACTTTAGGATATATCCATTTAACCAGTTCTGAATTTACCTAACTGGACATTAATCCATTTTTGACCTTTTCCAAAAAAAAAAAACATGAGAAACTTTATCAAATGCCTTACTGAAATCTAAACAAATTGGTTCTGTATCGTTCCCCTGACTGACCAATCTAATATTCCAATTTTTTTGAGGAAATGATTGTAATCTGGCATGACTTTTTTCATAGATATATGAATAAATATAATACAAAATAATGATAAGTTATGAAGAAGAGCTGCAAAGTGTTATGAGAAGTTTGAAGAGGGAGAAAGATCACTTCCTGCTAAAGGAGATCACAAAATCCTTCATGAAGTAAAGGATACCTGAATTAGGCTTTGAAGGGAGAGGCTTTGATGTGATAGTTGATAGGATGACCAAAATCACAGAACCAGGAAAAGATGAGACAAGAACAGGATATAATAGTTTATTTATTTATTAAGTTTTCTAGAACTCAAAACCAGGAAGGGAATAATAATAATAATGTGGAAAAATATTTACCCTTGACTGTAGAGGACTATAAGAAGCACATTTTATAGCTTCTTTTTTTTTTATAAACAGATGTGTTTGTTTTTCCCTGTGGCAATCAGTATAGCTTCTCTTTCTGCACCATAAAAAAGCCTAACCAAATCAGTGTCCTGGGTTTGAGAAAATGTTCTGTTGAGGGAAATGCTTACCTTGTTAGCCATTTCAAATTCAAACTTATCCTATCAACAAGTCTACAGACCTTCTTTTCTGCAAAGATAGAAAAGCTTTTGTGAAAGATCATCCTTCTTTGGCTTCATTCCACTCCACGGAGCTGAATCTCTTCAGAAAACAGCTATGCCTCACTCATCATCCCACTTACTACTGCTGAGTGACTAGAGTGGCAGTATCTGCCTCTAATTTAGAAACATATATTATGAACCACAATCACTTGTGATTAAATTCATGAACCTTCTGGGGATCCTGACCAATGAACATTTGTTGCCGTTGTATAGTCTGCGTATTCACTTTTTCCATTTGTTTTGCAGATTGGAGCATGTGGTTACATTGAATCCTTGGTTAACAACAGTTGCTGGTTGATCCAAGCCTTCAGCTTGGCCTGTACAGTCAAAGGTTATAAAATGCGTAAGTATTATATTATTTTGTGGGGGGAAAGGGGTTATGGTGGTAGTAGAAGGGGTGTAGGAGAGATTGCATTTTGGCTCATCTGGGAATTTTGTTGGCCTAACTTGAAAAATAATGCAAAGCACCTATTTTTTTTTTTTGAAATAGGGCACATAGGCTAGAACTACAGTGACTACTGAGGGGCCCAATCCTAATATTTATTTGGAGAGAAGTTTAAGCCTGCTCCATTTTTCTAACCAGGGCCAGTTCACCTCTCCTTAGGGAGCATCATGGCCCCTTGCTGCCTTCAGTGTCCCCATGCTTACCATATTGGTGTCAGACAGCAAAAAAGACATTGAAATGAAATAGAAAGAATGTTGATCCCAGAGGACTGAAAATAGGGCACAAGTCCTTTCTGTTAAGAAATGGCTAACTATAAGAGTGAAATATTACTCTGTCAGTCTCAGTTGATTTCTTCTCATTTTTTTAGGTAGAGTACAATGGGATTGTTTATTGGGAAGTGACTCTTATGTCAAAATAAAATATATGATTTTAAAAGAACTTAAAAGTTTCTGAAGCTAAAAAAAATTTTCAACAGGCAGAAAGGAAAGCATAGATTGATTTCCTAAATGCAAGTGGGTTATAGTGCTATTTAATAGACTATATGGAGGCTATAAAACTGTAGTACCCTCGACAGCTACAATCTTATATCAAATGAGGTAATAATGTATGTAAAGTACTTTACAAACCTTGAAGTTCTATTTAAATTCAAATTTCCATTATTACTGTTGCTATAACTTACATGCCATGCTACTCAGTAAACTTCAGTGGCTCCCTATTAACTCCAGGATCAAATATTATGTACCCTATCTTAATTTCTGTTTTAGGTAAGTTTTATACTATATGTAATTATTCATACAGTAGTACACGTGTGTAATTTATAACTTAAGTGAATATATGCATATTATGAGTATGTGAACAATCAAAAAAGTTTAGAGGCTCCTGTTACAGCACAATTTGGCCATCATTACCTAGTGATTAAAAGAGAAAGATAATGATTCATGTCTGCAGATTAAAAAAAAACCCAATGATGAATTGTTGAGGGATAAGGTTATGATTAAAATATAAACAATTTATTACTATTAACATTTGTACCTAAGTTCCTAGCTAGCCAGAGAGTATGGTTTATTTGCTCTGCTGTGATTTCCCAAATGTAACAGTCTATGGCATAAATATTACAACAACAACAACCAAAAAAAAGACTTTAGGTGTATTCATTCTAACACAGGCTTTCTTTGTTTGCTGTCATAGCTCTTGATAATAAGGAATGTAAATTGCCCAGTGGTGAGGCTGGAATTATCTGGGACAGTATATGTTTTGCATTCCTTTTGCTGCAAAGAAGAGTTTTCATGAGTTATTATTTCCTCCACGTGGTTGCTGACATAAAAGCTTCACAAATCCTGGCATCAAGGTAAATGTCTACATAAAAGTCATCATTGGTAGTGATATGTCATCATCTTAGAGATGATAAATGAATTCCATGGAACTGATGAGACCATCATTCAACAAGCATTCATCCAGAACCTACTATGTGTACAGGAACAAGAGAAAAAATGTGGAGAAAGAGAAGGAAAAAGATAGAGCTTTAGTAGATACCCGCACTTAGTAGTTGGGAATATAATGTTGTTCCAGCAAAAGAGACTGAAAAAGAGCAGTCAGCTGAGTCACGAAAGCCAAGTGAGATGAGGTTGTCCCAGAGGAAAGAGTGCTTGATGGTGTCAGAAGCTGCAGAAATGTCAAAAAGGAGGATGAGGAAAAGACCATTGTATTGAATAGTTGAGAGAATTTTGTTAAGTTTGGAAAGGGCAGTTTCAGTCAAGTGACTGGTTCAGAAGCCAGACTACAAGGGATTGAGAAAGGAAAGTGCAGTGAAATGGAAGCAATCAATATAAACAGCCTTTTGTGGGAGTTCTGCTATGGAAAAGAGATCAGCTATAGGACTATAGCTTGAGGGAATGCCAGGGTCAAGTGAAGATATTTTTATGTTGAAGGAGACGTGCTTATGGCAAGTGACCAGTGAAGGGGCAAGTGGATAAGAAGATACTGAAGAGTAAAGGTTGGGATAGAATGATAGAGGGCACAATCTCCCAGGTGAGAGAGCAGGGGACATGATCAAGAACCTTAACTGAGGGTTAGACTTGGCAAGTAGGCTTACCTTTTCACTAGAAACTGGAGCAAAGGAGATGAAAATAAGTAACAGAGAGGTACGTGATGTGTCGATCACAGGAGAAGAGGGAAATTGTGATGGATGGCTTGATCTGTATATTGTGTATTATTAATTATCACACAACATTATGTAGCTCAGCATACTTCATACTTGTACTCTTCCTTATTTTTCTTTTCTACCTTACTATTTTTGTCTTTTTTTTGTCTTTTTCTATTTTTTTTTTGCTACTGCTATTTGTATTCCTTTTTCCTCGGGCCCTTTTCATTACTTTTCTCAACAACTTCTCCCTCCTGATATGACGGTTAGGAAAGCAGAAAGAGAAAGATGAAAGAGAGCTGTGTGGGGTCTGTGGTACCAGGCCCTGTCTGTGTATACCTTACTCGTCATATCATCAGACAGAGATGCTTGTGGTCTTGTCTTCCTATAACCCCTTCCTTCAGGGCTCTGACTTAAACATAAGTCATTGATTTAGTACTGGAAGGAACCTTAGCAATCAGGGGCTCAAACTCCTCGTTTTACACACTTACAAACTGACAGCAGAAGAGATCAGTGACTTGCCAGGGCTCACATGGCTTGTAAGCGCCTGAGGTAGGACTCACTTCAAGTCTAGCTCTGCCCACTTTACAAGGGTGTTTTCCATTGCTTTCCACTTCTTGAGCTCATTATCTAATTTCTTTCTGTGTTCCAAACATAGTAGACTGAAGAAAGTTTGATGAATTACATTTACCTTAGGATGCAGCTCAGACTTGCTGACTTGGAGCAATGCCTTGAAGTATATTTAATCCACTAATAGACCTATATTAAAAGGAAGACCAGGTTCTACCCTCTACCTTTAACCAGTGGTACTTCAGTTCAACAAGCTAGTGAACTCTCTTGTACTGTGAAAACTATTGTTTTTACATCTCCCAGTAAGAGTAGAATAAGGCTGTGTTGGAATATTTACTTTCTTTAAGGCAAGTTTCAAGAGACAAATGGTCTTTTGTATCATCCAGCATCAGTGTGTAGCTCTTTTGAAGTAAAAATTGCTACCTTTATACCATGCTATATAGATCACCGAGCCTGAAGACAGGAAGACATGAGTACAAGTCTGGCCTCAGACACTTACTATCTGTGTGATCCTGGGCCCCAGTTTCCCTAACTGTAAAATGGGGATAATAATTGTACCTGCCTCACAAGGTTATTATGAGGATCAAATGAGATAATATTTGTAAAGTGCCTAGCATATCATAGGTACGGAAAAATTGCATTTCCCTTCTGCTTTCCATTCATAAGCTAACAAGTTATAAGCAGCCTGCTGACAAAAAGTGGTAGGTTGTACCCCATTCAGTCACGTAGTCAAAAAATATTTATTACATGCTTACTATTCTCTAAGCACTGGGGATAAAACTACATCTGTTTATAAAGTCACATACTATTTTCTTCCAGCCCAGAAGAAGAATTTTTGTAAATTGTTAGAAAACAGATATCACTTGCCAAGAGGCTCTAGGGCTTCATTTTTAGACTCATTTCCCCTCTATCTATGATGGTTTCTAATCCTTGATTTTTTTTTTCATGGAAGGACAAACATAAGGTTCTAATCTATCTTGTATCATTTCTGAATTTTTATTTAGAGGTGCTGAACTTTTCCAGGCTACAATTGTAAAGGCTGTGAAAGCAAGAATGGAAGAAGAAAAAAAATCAATGGACCAGCTGAAGAGACAGTACGAATGCTTCATTTCTCTCTGATGATGGGGTAGCAATCCAGTATGCCAAAAGGGAGGTCAGGCTGCCCTCAGAGTCACTAGAGCTCAAACTTTAAGTATCTTGATTGGATAAACTTTGACACTTGCCATGAAGCTTTCCATGGAATGAGAAGTTCCATGATTGTTGTCAAGGCATTAGTAATCCTGTACTGCTCACAATCTGGTAGTGAAGGGAACTCAAAAGGGGGGATCATCTTAGAATGTTAGAGCTGGAAAGGGCATTAGAGGTCATATATTACAATCCCCTGCACTTTGAAGGGGAGTGTTCTGATACTTAGGAAGGTTAGGTGATTTGTGTAAAGTTAGTACATGGGATAGGAAAAAAAATCAACTGTCTACCCAATGGGGTAGTGAAATTTTTGTTCTGCAAGACCACTGTTTAGTGCTTTCATGAAGTAGACTTTTTAGCAGTGGAATCATTAAGATACTGGGTGGGGGGAGGGGAAGTGCGGGCATCTCCAGTTGTCCTGATCTGTATTTTGCCACTGGACTCAGATGGCTCCAGAGGAGAAAAGTGGGGCTGGTGACTTTGCACAGCCCTCCCTCACTTAAATCCAATTCACTTGCAAGTCATGGCATCACCTTCCTGATGTCATGGTCTTCTTTGAGAGCAACAAACAACAATAATATTAAGATATGGTGATATGATATGATATCATCTGGATAAAAGTCTAAGGCATGACTAACAAAAAGTTCTGCTTCATCAGCTTTTCCATCCAGATTAGGGGAAAAATGCCATGGATTACCAGGAAAATATTCAATAATTGACTGAAATAGTCCTTAAATAAGACCATTCTAAAGAGAAGGGCCCTTTCTACTCTGACTTCATCTTCTAGGGCCCAGGGGTGGGGAACCCGAGGCCACAGGTTCCCCATCCCTGGAAAAACTGTTTCTCTTGTTCCTTTTTTTTTTTTAACATAACACATCATTCCATAAAAAAACTGCTGTTTTGAGATTGACAGTATGTCATGTGAAAGTACTTGAAAAATGACAAAGCACTATAATATGAAAGCAATAGCAGTAATATTGTTATTTTTGCTATTATTGTTTTATTATTGCTGCTATTATTATTATTCTATATTATTATCTTTAAAATTGATTTTCACATATACCAAATTTGGACCAAATTATTTCAGAATGCATTTATTTTTGTCTTAAAAGTTAACAATGTTGCCATCAGTCCCCTAAGGAAAAAAAATGTATCAGACCTCTTCATCATTGAGATTCTCGAGACCAATTGCCCATTTGTTTCACAATCCAGAGCCTGGATAACTTTTAGGGCTTTTAATTCCATTATGCCCCAACATACTCTCTAAGATTATAAACGATAAACATGTGCTAATCTGCATTGGTATATAGAGTTAGTTCTTCTACCAATGAAAGCACAGGTCTGTGTTCTTCAAAACTCATATTATGTGCTCTGAGCAGGAAATAATAATGACCCTATATGTAAAGAGTTGTGAAAAATTAGAGTATCCTATAAATATCAGTTATTATTTGATTCTTCTCCTATTTATGTTTGATGGGTTTCATATCAGATAGAAATTATCCTGTACCATCATCTCCATATCATAGATAAAGACTCTGGGGCTCTGAAATGTTCAATCATTTGCCCATGGTCATACTACTTAGTGTGAGGTCTTCCTTCCACCTGGTCTGGTACTATGTTCACTATGCCATACTACAGGAATCTGAACATAACTAGGGATAAAGTGTAACTTGGAACATTCTTAGTATAATTTTATTTTCACTTATTATCATCACCACTATCATCTTTAAATTCCCCCAAGTAGATAATAAATTTCAAAGGTGGTAGTGGGTTCTTTGTGGCTGCCTTAACACAATTGCCAAAGTATTTAAAAGCCTGTTGATGATTGTTATTGCATTCAGAAACATCACTGTCTAAATCAAAGACATTAGTCTTATGGAAAGCTAAAGATTATAACATGACTAATATTTCCTTTTATTAGAATGGACCGCATCAAAGCCAGGCAACAGAAATACAAAAAGGGGAAAGAGAGAATGCTGAGTTTGACCCAGGAGTCAGGTGAAGGACAGAGTCTTCAAAGAGTCTCTGAAGAGGATGATGAAAGTATGTCAATCCATTTTCTCACCATTCAGCTACTTTGAAGTTGAGTCACATACAATATTTGGAAATCAGTACAGTTGTGAAGAAAGGGTTTCTCTCAGTTCTAACATTGACAGTATATTTATTTTAGTGCAAGGTTTGCCTTTTTATATAAATTGAATAAGTCAGGATGTTGTGTAGGTGTTCCCTAAAGTACATTTTAAAGCTTTAATGAAACTCTGATTTTAAGCCATTCATTATGCCAAATGGGTCAAAACCAATACATTCTTTTTGGGTCGAGAGTCAGTTTGCTTGGAGAGATGTATATCATTTTAGTTTCTAGACCTTTGGAGGAGGAAGAATCAAATGACAGAGAACCAGTTGATTTGGGAAGAGAAGTAGTAATGTTTTTGTTTCTGGAATTTCCTCTAGTTTTTGTAAACTCTCTAAAATAAACAAATCATATACATGCGCATTGTATATTGACACCTAATGTCAGAATCTAAAATTGTGGATTGCTGGTGTTTCCAGTGTAACTTGCCTTGTGAAATATATTATTGTAGCAAAATTGATTATGGTTTGAAACATATTTTCATGGGATTTTCTTTTGGCATGGTTTTCGGGGATTGAAGTGAAGCACCATATTTGTTTTTAGATTATAATTTCCATCAATCACTAATAAATTAGTATTTTCCAACCACATATTATCAATATCTATTATAAGTAAGTTGTCTGGCTTTTAAAATTACTGTTTTAGATGAATTTTAGAAAAATGGCATGTCTCTATCTCTTTAAACTTTATTTGTTTTGTTTTAGTTCTATGGAATATTCATTGGTATATAACATATGGTGAAATGATGATCCCTTCACTTTATTTGTATCTAAATGTGCTAGCTTGAAAAGGAATAGCTGAAAATACAGAGCATTTTAAAATAAATGGTAGCCAATTCCTTTTGGGATTCAGTTGTGACCCCTGATACTTGAACACTTTTCAGACTATGCAGTTTCCTTTTCCTGACCCTTTAATGTGTTCTTAGAGTTTAGCTAGATTTGACAATAATGAGTTGTTAAATCGTGGTGTTCAAAGCTTGTTTTCTCATTTTGTAAGAATTAATGTCTGGACATATTTCATTTTAGGAGAAGCAGACAAACAGAAAGCCAAGGGCAAAAAAAAGCAGTGGTGGCGGCCTTGGGTTGATCATGCTTCCAGTAGGTTTTCTCGATCCTCTTACAATTTCATCGATTTTAACCCTTATATCCTTGACCAGAATTCGGGCATTCCCATGACCTGTTTGTTCCATGCATGGTTTAATCATTGTGACTTGATAGGGGGCCTGCGTGTAGAAACTTACTATTACAAAGGTCCCTGTGCACTTGTGTACAGGTGACTTATTAAGTATAGGTACTCTATGGTCCTGTACAATCCCTTCTCGAGATAGCTGAAGCTAACCTAACCAATCCTTGAACACAATTTGTAGGTTATTAAGAGAATGAAAATGACTATTATCTAATTCGGAGGTCCGGAAGGCTGACCAAGCTTAGCTATTATATATTGTTTTATCCACGGCACCTAGATTTGGAAATACACTTATGTTAGAAATGGTCTCTGATACCAAGCAGATATTTGCAAATATTTTATGACTCCCTTTATAAGACAGTAACAGCTTATGACAATGAGTTTCTTCTTCCGTTATAAATCTCAGAGCTTTGATTTTATTTGCATTGAGGGTTTTTTTAAGCAAATAGCTAAATGTGAAAGTGGAGGATGAATATAATTTATTTTACTTCTTCCCGTTTTCTTCTCCTTTTCAAAATTTCCCCAGTGCTAGTGCTCTAAATTGCATTCCTGGCAGGTATTATGTCCTCTTAGTAGCCTGTTGTTCAGTGATGATGAACTGGAACCAGAAATCAGAAAGTCCTTCTGAAAAGCAGAATTTGGAAGTCACACAGAATGTAAAAACTTCACCATAATAAATATGGCATTAGAAAGAAAATTATCTAATAAATGCCTTGTTTTAATTAATGCCATTTACCATTTGGCCACATCACAGCATTTATTCAGTCCATTAGTATGATAAGTTTCTCCAAACCAATGTGACTTGGCTGTGCTGCCATGAAATTGACTAGACTGAAAAATTTAGGAAAGTTGATCCACTAGGACCTATCTGCCTACCTGCCCTACCACCTAGAAAGGACTTGGGTACTCAGCTTGTATGAGATTAACAAACCCTGCCAAATTGGACTTGAATTGAATTCCACTGAATAATACTGCCAAAATCTGGAGTCCATCAGTTTCTCCTTAAGCATGTAAAGTTGGCCTTAACCTTTCTTACCTATGACATAATTTCCTAAAACCAGCCAGGTACATTTCCTGATACATTTTCAACAAATTATGCAACATTTCAGAACGTAGTGTTGGCTAAGCATTACAAAGCTTTGATTCCAATATTCTTAAAGAAAGCCTAATGCTTTGTTGACAAACTCATGCATTCCTCTGGATAAAGTAAAGTTGCAATTCCCTGCAATCCCTTATATTGTACACTCTGTGTGACCATGTTATTTCTACACTGACGGATATTCGTGTCAATCTCTTAAGGTACACTGTATGTCCATTTCTATCAAGTCACAAGTAAACTGTGCCTATCTTTATGTTTCTAAAGGGCATATTGCTACTTTAGAGAGACTTATCCTTTTTCAAAAAGATTTCTCTTATCGACCATATTATACTGTCACCTGAGGTAATGTCTCATGCCATTTTAATGTGGTACTATTTCTTTTTTTCATTTGAAAATGGTATTTTGAAGGAATTGGATAAGGTCTTTGTTAATCATCATACTAGTTGTTAGTACATTCAAGAATTTCCAGTACAAAGGTTATTATTGACTTTGGGTTTTCTGATTCATTTTACCCTCATTATATCATGTTCTTGGACACTGGTCTTAAACCAAATGTGCATCATTACAATACCTTATGGTGCAATAATGCAGAAATTTGTGTGATTCATAGTTTGGAACCAGATGCTAACTGTAATTTTAAAAGCTCCCTGCCAAGTGTTTTTCCTCTTAGTGTCTGCCAAAATACATCAGTAGCATCCTTCTGAGAAACAGACAAAAAATTAGCATATGATAGGTGATGGGACTATACTATTTGAAAGGTACATTATTGTGGTCCACTGTTGTGATGTACTTGGTTACTGGATTTGTCAGTACGATTTTATTAGGTGGTCAACATGAGTACTTCTGAAATAGCAATATGTAAATCTATGGAAGTTAATAATAACAACCAGGAGAATACTATTTGCATATTAACAACATTATTAGAAATCACTGAATATCTTAATCTAGGCCTTTGGGTTACTCAAATGTTCCCAGTTCCATATCTATGTGTACACATAAGGTTGCATTATTGCTGTTCAATCATACCTTCCCTTTCAGTATTTCATATCTCCATATCATTTATATCCTTCCTATGGCGTCACCTGTCAAGCCTGTCTGGCATTGTTCAATACCTGCATTCTTAAAGACAGTTTTTAAGTGCCAGGTTTGTGGAGATGTGAACAGTAAGACTGTAAAGGGACTCACAGAAGAGACCCATTGAAGTAATCTTGTCACCTCCTAGTCATGACAGTAGCACCCCATACACTTTAGGGAGAGGATGTATCAGAAATACCAAGTGAGATATCTCATATATTAATAGAATTTTATGAATAAAAGGGACCTTAGAAATCATCTAATCCAACTCCTTCATTTTATATATTATGAAATATATATGTATATGCACATACATATACATATGTATAATGACATATTTGGTCTTAAAGGTAAATATCACAAAAGAAACAAATGATTTTTCCATTTTAATTTATTTTCTAGTCTCCTGATAATTTTAAAAGACCATATAAGATTCTGTTTTTTATTTTTGGGTAGTGGTGGAGGTTTGTGGTAATACTACATGTAATTCATAACAATCACTGAAACATAAAAAATTATCTCTGAAAGAACATTCTCCTGTTGAGCATAAAGCAAATAATTTTCTCCTAAAATATATCAAAACTCTGTGTTCGTTTGTCCAACGGAGTACAGAAAACATTTTAGGAGGTATGATTGAATAAAATTTAAGCTGTTGTTGATTTTAGAGCCTATAATGAGGGTAAAATGTTGACTCATATATTACTCTGAATTCTTCCCAACTGAACATATGACATACACCCTATGTAATTCTTCTTGCTAATCTCTAAGTTTACATGAAGGCATAATTTTAATGGTCTTCCCCACTGTCAAATGTAATGCTGTGACTTTGGTTTGTTCTCGCTTATTATTGTCTTCTGTTTGTTTTGTTTATTTCCCCTTCTCAGGCTTGGGCCTATTGCCCTGGGCCTGTTACCTTATTCAAAACTAAAAATAAATGCTTCTGTTCAAGGATATAAGGCCCAGTTCATTCACTCTGCATCTTCATGAATGGAGGCTTCAGATTCTATCTGAAACCATGGGCAAAATTACTTTTATTTATTACTTTGTTTAGTGATATTCAAGCAATTCGTTTTAAACAAGCCAAGGTTTTCCATTACCTCATTATTTTAAGTCCAAAAGATGAATAAACAAATGATATCACATTGTGTAACATAAAAGATGGCCCAGCACTTGAAAGCCTAAATAAAAAACAAAACTATAGTATATTTTATGGATAATGATGGTACAATTTATGTAACATCAGAAATTTCTATGCTGGGTTTCTTGTCACTGATGAGACAAAGCTATAATATATATTCATCTTAAATGGAAAAAGATTAAATTGATCAAATTCCTCTAAAATATTTGGATAGACCTTGCAACTTTCTCTGCTACAAACTCCTAACACAGACTGTGTTTACATGCAAGAGGAAAGAATAGACTATAGCAGGGCAAACATACTCCTTGCTCTTTTTGCTATATGTTGTGATGATCAGTATGGATCTCTGCATGACAAAATATAGTTCTCAAATTCCACACCACCCCTAAAGAATATCAGTGGTGAGTCATGCTGATCCCATTTGTCATGCCACAGTCTCTTCTACTATCCTCATGTAGAAACAGGCACTGTGTTTAGTTTTCTTCTTACCTGCCCATTTCCTCCTCATGGCAATGTGGGTTAAAAAACAACCAACCAACCAACCTATAATGCTCAATTGTTGCCATACTTGTCATGTCCAATGTGTTCCATGTGCAGAAGCCAGGTCTACACAGCAAAAGGTGAAGTGGAAGGTTTCTAATGCCTAGTTATAGCCCTGAATTATCTGCATTGGCTATCTATACAGCCAATTTCTATGAGATAATTGCAAATCCTCCACTTCACTTTGGCCTTATCTATACGACCAAAATAACAAAATCGTGCCACCATCGATGAGTTATTTTGATCACTGTAATGATCGAATTGGGTTGCTGCACAGTTGATCTGATTGATTGGTACAGTCTATGAAGAAGGTTGAAAGTACCAGATTGACTTTGCTTTGGCCAATTCGGTTAAGTGGTATAGACATGGCCTTTGTGCTTTAACTTAGTCATAGTGGCACTAAGTAATATTAACCTGACAGTGAGTTCTGTTCACTTTGTTTTTCTTCCTCTATCCTAATGATCCTTTGTTGACTGTTTGTTGGAATATCTTTGTGTGTCATTCAGAAAAGAGCCCCTAATATTCCTTATATTTTTCACGAAATAAGTAAATGTTTTGTTTTGCTTAGTGGTCAGGAGTGGAGATTATTATTTGTTTGAGACGGATAGTGAAGAGGAAGAAGAAGAGGAAGAAAAAAAAGATGAAGAACCACCAAGAAAGTCAGCATTCCAGGTAAATGTGGACTGGGGTAAATAAATATACACAGTTTATAAGTTGGAAGAGCTGCTCTGATTGACTGAGCTTGATTGGAGGGCTAAGCTTTTCTGGTTGTGACCATGTTTATTACAGCCCCTAGAAGTATGTAATCTCTGTCTGGAATTGGTTGTTACAAATGAACATTTTTGTCAGCTTATTGGTATTGCTATTTGCTTTCAGTTTTCTTAGAATTACTTACGTACAAGAATCTTTTAAGGGCCCAGTCTTAATTCACTTGCTTCAAAAGATTTTCAGTGGTTGTTACATGATATTTCTGTGAATGAACTTCAATGTCACTTTATTGAAAAAAAGCACATAGGGCCAAGATAGTGGAGTGAGGAAGGAACCCTTTGAAGCCTTCCCAAATTCCCCTCCAGACCACTAGAAAACCACCTCAGAATTGATCTAGGAGCAGGGAAGCAGTTTATCAGCACAGGAGGTGCTCTCACTGGGTGGGAAAGGAGCAAGGTCTAAGAACAACAGCAACAGTAGCCAGCCCCACTCCACTGACCCCACCCCTAGCACAAGCAAGGCCTTGACCCCATTGTTGTAGTGAAGCCCCACCCCAGGGCTGGCCAAGAGTGAGACCCCCACCCCTAGGGCCTGTAGAGAAACCCTGTTTCCATAGAAACCCAGCAGCATGGCCCCACCCCTGGAGCAGGCCAGCAGCTAAACCCCACACACCCAGGGGAGGACAACAGAGAGTCCCCATCCCCTAGTACATGCAAAAAGGGAAGCCTACTCTTCAGAGAAAGAAAGCAACTAAGCCATGTAATCAGTGAAAGTCAGCAATAAGATCCATACCCCCAGAATAAAAAGCCTGAGACAGTACTAGATCAGAGTCCAACTCTCACATAAAAACACCAACTCACAAAAAAAGGGCAGGAACAAAAAAAGGAGCAAAAAGCAAGAAAAAGAAAGAGCTTGGCTGTACAAAGTTACTGTGGTGATAGGAAAGATCAAGGCATAAACTTAGAAGAGGACAATAGTGTTAAAATGGCTACATGTGAAGCCTCAAAGAAAAATATCATTTGGTCTCAGGCCCAGAATTCCTGGAAGAGCTTAAAAAGGATGTTTAAAAGCAAATTTAAAAAGTAGAAGAAACATTGGGAAAAGAAATAAGAGTAATGCAAGAGAATCATGAAAAAGGAGTCAATAGCATGGGAAAAGATATGCAAAAAATTACCAAAGAAAATAACTCCCTAAGAATGGAAATTGGCCAAATAGAAAAGAAAGTACAAAAGCTCACTGAAGAAAATAATTCCTAAAAATTTAGAATTGAACAAGTGGAAACTAAGGACTCTGTGAGACAATGAGATATGATAAAGCAAAATCAAATAAGTAAAATGTAGAAGAAAATGTGAAATTTCTCATTGGAAAAACAACTGACTTAGAAAATAGATCCAAGAGAGATAATATAAGAATTATTAGACTACCTGAAAGACATCATCAAAAAAAAAAACAGCCTGGACAACATCTTTCAAGAAATTAGCAAAGAAAATTGCTCTGATGTATTAGAACCAGAAGGCAAAATAGAAATTGAAAGAACCCACTGATCATCACTTGAAAGAGATCTCAAAATGAAAATTCCAAGGAACATCATAACCAAATTCCAGAGCTCACAGGTCTAGGAGAAAGTATTGTAAACTGCCAAAAAGAAACAGTTCAAATATCATGAAGCTACAGTCAAGATTACACTGGATTTGACAGCTTCCACATTAAAGAATGGGAGGGTTTGGAATATGATATATCAGAAGGCAAAGGAGTTAGGATTACAACCAAGAATCACCTATTCAGAAAAATTAAATATAGTCTTTTGGGGGGAAATGGATATTTAACAAAATAGAGGACTTTCAAGCATTTCTAATTAAAAGACCCAAGCTGAATAAAAAATTTGACCTCCAAATACAAGACTAAAGTGAAACATAAAAAGGTAACAAAGAAAAAAGAAAGAGAAAATATAAATTCAATAGGGTTAAACTTTATATTTCTATATGGCAACATAATATTTGTTAAATCTTAACAACAATGAGACAACACACCAAAATTCATGGGATACAATTGAAGTGGTAGTTAGAGGATATTTTATATCTCTAACTGCTTAATCAATAAAATAGAGAAAAAGCAGATTGAATAATTGGCATGCAGCTAAAAAAACTAAAAAAAAGAACAATTTAAAAATCCTCAACTAAAAAACAAATTAGAAATCCTGAAGATCAGAGGGCAGAGTAGTACAATTAAATGTAAGAAAACCATTGAACTAATAAATAAAACTCAAAGCTGATTTTATGAAAAAAGCAATAAAATAGATAAACATTGGTTAATTTGATTTAAAAAAGGAAAAAAGAAAACAAAATTATTAGTATCAAAAATGAAAGGGGTGAATTCACCACCAATGACGAGGAAATTAATCCAATTGTTGGGAGCTATTTGCCCAACTATATTCCAATAATTTTTCAATTTAAATGAAATGGATGAATATCTACAAAAATATAAATTACCCAGATTAACAGAAGAAATAAAATACTAAATTCAATCTTAGAAAGAGAAATTAAACAAGCCATCAATAAATTTCCTGAGAAAAAAATCCCCAGGACCAGATAGACTCACAAACAAATTCTACTAAACATTTAAAGAACAATAAATCCCAATAGTATGTAAACTAATTCAAAAAATAGGCAGAGGAGTTTTACCAAATCCCTTTACAACACAGATATGGTGCTGATGCCCAAACCAGGAAGAGCTAAAAGAAAGAAAGAAAATTATAGGCCAATTTCCCTAATGAATATTGATGCAAACATTTTAAATAAAATACTAGCAAAGAGATTACATCAATATATTACAAGGATAATACATTATGACCAGTTGGGATTTATACCAAGAATGTTCAATATTAGGAAAATTATCAGCATAATAGATCATATCAATAAAATACCAACAAAAATCACATGATTATCTCAATAGATGCAGAAAAAGCTTTTGACTAAATACAGCAACCATTCCTATTAAAAACACTAGAGTGGGAAGCTAGGTGGTACAGTGGATAGAGCTCCAGCTTTGGAGTCAGGAGAACCTGAGTTCAAATCCAGCCTCAGACACTTGACACTTACTAGCTGTATGACCCCGGGCAAGTCATTTAACCCCAATTGCCCTACCAAAAAGCAAAACAAAACAAAACAAAACAAAAACACACTAGAGAGCATAGAAATAAATGGAGCTTACCTTAAAATAAGTAATATTGACCTAAAACCATCAGCAAGCATCATCTGTAATGGGCATTAGCTAAAAGGTTTCCCAATACAATCAAGGGTAAAGCAAGGCTGCCAATTATCACCTCTATCACTTAATATTGTACTAGAAATGTTAACTGTAGCAATAAGAGAAGAACAACAATTAAAGAAACTAGAATAGGCAATAAGGAAACAAAACTATCATTCTTTGTAGATGATATGATATTATAATTAAAAAATCCTAGAGAATCTACTAAAAAACTAGTTGAAATTATTAACAACTTTAGCAAAGTAGCAGGATACAAAATAAACCCATATAAATCATCAGCATGTCGATATATTACCAACAAAGCCCAGAAGCAAGAGATAGAGAAATTCCATTTAAAATAACTGTAGGCAATATAAAATACTTGGAAGTCTACCTGCCAAGATAGACCCAGGAACTATACGAACCCAACTATAAAACACTTTTTGCACAAATAAAGTCAGATCTGAACAACTGGAAAAACATTAATTGCTCATGGGTAGGCCAAGTCAATATAATAAAAATGCCAATTCTACCTAAATTAATCTATTTATTCAGTGCCATACCAATCAAACCATCAAAAATTATTTTATAGACCCAGTAAAAAATAATAATAAAAGTCATCTGGAAGAATAAAAGCTCAAGGATATCAAGGGAATCAATGAAAAAAATATGAAAGAAAATGGTCTAGCCATACCAGATCTCAAACTGTATTATAAAATGGTAATTATCAAAACAATCTGATACCAGCTACAAAATAGAGTTGTAGATCAGTGGAATAGATTAGGTACAAATTGTATTATTGTAAATGGCAATATTAATCTAGTATATGACAAACTCAAACATCTAAGCTTTTTGAACAAAAACTCATTATTCAACAAAATTGCTAGGAAAACTGGAAAACAGTCTGACAGAAGCTAGGTAGAGACCAACATCTCATACCACATACCAAGATAAAGTCAAAACGGGTGCATGATTTACACATAAAGGGTGATGCAAATTAAGAGAGCATGGAACAGTTTATTTGTGAAATTTATGGGTAAGGGGAAAAAATTAGGACCAAAGAAGACATAGAAAGCATTATAAAATGTGAAAGAGATAATTTTTATTATATACAATTAAAGAGTTTTTGCATAAACAAAAACAATATAATCAAAATTATAAGGAAAGCAGAAAACTGGGGGAAATTTTTGCAGCAAGTATCTCTGAGAAAGGCTTCATTTCTCTACTACATAGAGAACTGAGTCAAATGTATAAAAATATAAATCATTCACCAATTGAAACATGGTCAAAGATTATAAACAGGCAGTTTTCAGACAAAGAAATCAAAGCTATTTATAGTCATATGAAAAATGTTCTAGATCAATATTGATCAGAGAAATGCAGATTAAAACAGCTCCAAGCTACTGCCTTACACTTATCAGAGTGACTAATATGACATAAAAGGAAAATCTTGGATGTTGGAGGGGATGTGGGAAAACTGGGGCACTAATGCCCTATTGGTGAAGCTATGAAAGCTGATCCAACCAATGTGGAGAGCAATTTGGAGCTATAATCAAAGGGCTATGATATTGTGCACACCCTTTGATCCAGCAATAAAACTGCTAGGTCTGTATCCCAGGACATCCAAAAAGAGGCAAAAGGACCTATTTGTATAAAAATATTTATAGCAGCTCTTTTTGTGTTGTCTAAGAATTAGAAATCAAAAGGATGCCCATCAA